TATGTTTTGTAATTTGTTGAATTTAAAGATTGTTAGTTTAATAGTGAGCTAACGTCATGTTACGTTAAAAGTTGTATGAGAAATAAGTTTTATTTTAAATTTTTTTACAGTATCCATAAAATATACAATAAATTAATTATTCAAATGGCAGAGCACGAACATGAATTTGAGGGCCATGAGGAAGAATTAGAAGCCCCAAAAGATTCATTGTGGAGAGATGAACATGAAATGGAAAAATCTGCAAACATCGTTTATTTTTTAACCTTGGGAATTGTTTCAGGGTTAATATTGAGAGAAATCAATAAAAAGACAAAGTAATGGAATTGATATACAAGCTAGATTTCCATATTCTCCTATGATTTTATCATTAGGAATTTTATTAGGATTACTTTAAAAGAGTTTGGGTTATGTTGGAGAAAGTGCAAGTATCTTGTCAAAAATGCATCCTCACTTAATAGTGTTTGTGTTTGTTCCTGTTTTGTTATTTGAGTCAGCTTTTAATTGTGATTGGTACACTTTCAAATATCAGATGGTAAACATTTTACTATTAGCTGGTCCTGGTTGTGGTTGGGTATTTGATAATCTAAAAATAGGGTGCAATTTTATTAGGTGCTGTATTTAAAATGGTTTTACGTTATGATGATCATGATATGACATGGTATTAAGCATTTACTCTTGGTTCTGTATTATCAGCTACAGATCCTGTGGCAGTAGTTGCTTTACTTAAGGAATTAGGAGCAAGTTTGGCATTCAATCATTTAATAGAGGGGTATATATAACTTTTATAAATTTAGAGAGGCTTTATTAAATGATGGTGTAGCAATGGTATTTTTTATATTTTTTAACAAATTTTCAAAAGCAGCTAGCGGTAAAGGAGAAGCAGTGACTGCAAGTTAGGTAGTTCTCAATTTTGTTAGAAATTCATTAGTTGGACCAGCCTTGGGATTGATTTTAGGTATATTAGCTGCTTTATGGACAAAGAGAATTTTAGGTGATGATATAGAAGTAACTTGGTTAACATTTGTATTCACATATTTAACATTTTATTGGGCAGAATTTTGTTTTTTTAAAACTAGTGGTTTACTGGCAGTTGTAGGTTTAGGTTTATTTTGGAGTGCTTTTGGAAAGACTAGAATAAGATCATCAGTAGAACATTCTGTGCATACTGTATGGGGTTTTGTGTAATATTCTTGTGATACTTTAATATTTTTATTAGTTGGAATAATTGTTGGTACTTAAGTAATTGAAGAAACATTTATTCATAAATCAGATTATATTAGAATGATAGTGTTTTACTTTTTTATGATTTTGGCTAGATTTATAATGATATTAACATTCTGGCCATTTTTAAGGTGTTTTGGTTATCCTATTTCAAAGTCTGAATTTATAGTACTTGTATATGGTGGTTTGAGAGGTGCCTTAGGTTTAACATTATCTTTAATGGTTGGATGTGATGAAGAATTGCCAGCTAGATTTAGACATTTATCTGTTTTTTATGGAGCAGGGATGGCTGCAATAACAAATTTAATTAATGGTACTACTTGCAAGGCTTTAGTTCAATATTTAGAGATGATAGAAAATCCTGTTGTTAAAAAAAAGGTGTATAAAAAATATTTGGAAGAATTGATAGTAAATTCTTAAGATAAAATGAGAGAATTAGAATCAGATTAATTTTATAGTATGGCTGATTGGAATAAAGTAAATTAATTAATTGGGTAACCTAAATTCATAGAAAAAATAGAGAAATTAGAAACTGAAATAAAATATATGATAGGTAGTAATAAAGTTTCAACAAATTCATCTAATTTATATGAAGGATTAACAGATTAAGAAATATTTGGAGAAGTTAGATATAGAATCTATCGTATTATGAAGGGTTTGTATTATGATAAATTTGAGTATGGTTTATGTGAAGAAGATACAGTTCGTTTATTGGTTGAATCAAGTGATATAGGTTTAGATCATACAAAAGCAATTTTAAATATTTGGGATTAATTATATAAGAATTTCTTAAATTTTAGTAGTGTGAACTTTTTCTTTAAAGTTAAGGAAATGCCATTTATTGGACCATTTGCTAGAGATTATATGATTAAACATTTAGGATTTGTTTATGATGTGACTACAACATTTTTATCTTGTGCAAATGAAGCATTTCATTTAACTGAAAGTTTCCCTATGAGTAAAGATGCTGTTAGAGTTGTTATGGAAGAATTAAATAAGGAAATAGAAAAAGCTGAAGGTTATTTAAGTATATTAAATGATACTTTTCCAGAGATTGTTAGAGCAATTTAAACTAAAAGAGCATCACATTCTATTTTAACACATTAAAGACATTATCTTGATGATACATAATAAAATGGATTAGTAGATGATAAAGAATATTAATTATTAAAAAAAGAAATCAATACTAGATTAGTTGATCTAGAAAATCATTAATTTGATATGATTTTACCATCATTCCATGTTTTAGCAATGGAATTTCCTATTTTTTCAGGTCTTGTTTCTACAGACTTAGATAACATAATAAAAAGTGCTTATGAAAAGAAATTTGGACCAGATGAAATAATATATGAATAAGGAATGACATGTTAGAATATCTATATTGTGAGTAAAGGTAATGTAGTGGATGAATTTCAAGGAGGATCAATAAAAAAGGGTTTAGGATCCTTAATTACATATACTAATCTTATAGGAGATGGAACATGCATGAGTACAGCTAAGACTACAGCTGATTCTTTACTTTATTCATTAAATCTTAAAATTCTTAAAGATTTAATGAATAAAAATCCAGATTTTGAATTCAAAATATATATAAATTCTGTTGGTAATTTATTAACTTTATTTTTAGAATATTTAAGAAAGATGTTTGAAAATTAAGCTGGACCTCTTGCACATTTAGAAATAAAGAGATTATTAGATTTCTTTAGAACAAAAAGTAAATTAAGAAAATTTACAACAAATTAAAAATGTGATTTTATTTTTGGTGGATATTTATTTAGAGGAGAATTAAAGGACATCAATAATAAAGTTTATTCTCAATATACGTAAAATATATATTCTATTATATAGTTATATACCTCCTCAAGATACTGAATGTTTAGTAACAAAAGATTGTTAATGCTTGATATTCGAAGATTCAGTAGAGTCCTTCAATAATTAAATGCTGAAACAACTAGATTTAGATCCTCATAAAGACTAATAGATTTAAGAAAGGTATTCATAGATTAAACGTACTTCTATGATGGATAAAAGTAAACATCATTGATATTATATCATTTATATATATATCCCAAAATAGTTTCAATTATTGAATACTGATTTTATTTACAAACATTTCCTATTGATAAAGGTTCTGACCAATTCCATTTTTTACATTCATGTTTTCCTTTATAAATATATTCAACATATCCCCAATAATGAGATGAATTTCTATAAACTAGTTATATGATTACTTTTTGCTTGAAACTTTGAAAAATCCATCTAATTTATCTATACAATTTGGAGGTATAAATAATCCACTATCTAGTATTTCAGCCTATAATTATTCCTTAATATTAGACAAGAATTTATTTGGTACTTTATTTAATATAAATTAATTTATATCTCCTAATTCACCAGCATATGCTAATTTAATAATAAGACCACTATTATAATTAAATTTATAATTTATACTTCTAATCAGTTTCAAATTTTAATTACTTTTAAAAATTATCAGCTTATTCAATATTTTTCCTTGTTTCTTCATTAAATTTTTAATACTCTTCAATTTTATATAAATAAAGTGATCTCTTTTTATTTTAAAGATCATTCCAAGGATTTAATAAGTTTTTCTACCAAATTAAGGGAAGTATTTATGGACCTATCATCCAAAATAATAATGATTTTAAACTCTAAATTTAAAATGCAAAAGGGAATCTTATAGATGAATTAATCTTTCTTAATGTAAATATTATTGACATTTAATTATTTTCTGATAAAGTACTTTGCCAATCAAATCTTAAATGATTATATTAAGCTTTGAAATCACTTGATAATAAAAATAATGATTTATTAACATTTTTAAAATAACATAATCTAAGATTTGATCCATAATTTTATTCTTTAAAAACTTAATATGATAATTAAACATTATAATTTTTATGTTTAATTTAACCTTAAAATGTTAATCTTTCTGAAAGTTATTTATCAAAATTTAATTATTTTTCTTATGCATCAAAAGTGATTTATATTGACGTTTAATCTTTACCTATTGCTGCTACAATTTAAGGTACAATACCTTATTCACTATTTATTAAATTAAAGTGAATCTCTCCTAAAGCATTTTTTTTTTTTAAAGTAACTTAATCAATTTAAAAATCTGGGAGTTATTATTAAATTTCAATACCACAACCTTTTATTAATGGCAAATTCAAACTTAATGCTGTTATTAAATAATTTTTACTTACTTCTACTTCCATACCTTGATATTTTAGTAAATTGATTTCAGATTTCAATGCAAATTCAAACTATTTCCAACGAGGTAATTGTAAGATTTATTATATTAATGCACATCTTTAATTTTAATTTGTGGTACAAATAAATGTATTTTAAAATGATGCTTCACATAAAAATGATTTTAATGTTGAATATGAGTTTAATTCTTCTTCTTCTAACTTTAGGAGTAATAATTAAACTCTTATATTCTCAATAACATTCTTGCCTTAATGATATTCCCATTCAATTAACTCAAAATGTTATTTATTTTCTAATAGTAATTATACTCCAGCAAATCCAAAATTATCATAAACTAGTTTATTAAACTCATTCCCAATAATTTTATATGCTTAATCGATTTTCTCAAAAGTTTCCACACTTAAATTATAATTCTCTTAACTTTATTTATCAGGATGAAACACTTTTGATAATTCTCTATACTATTCTTTAATCTAACTAAAAGTAGCATTTTCTGGTAAACCTAATGACTAATATGGATTTTACATTATAATAATTATCAATTTATAATGTTAAAATTGAAACCTTCAGAATCAGCTCCAAATTCAATTAAAATGCCACATTTAAAAGCTAAAGACTTAGATAAAAAAAGTATTACAAATATATATTTATTATAGATGAAATGGATAAAGTAATCTAATAACAAATAATTATTGAACCTGAAATAGTTAGATTTGCAGGTTTTGAAGTAGGTAAATTAAATTTACTTAAAATTCGTGTGATTAATAAGTATCTTTAACCATAAAGAATTTTGGTTATACCTCCTAAAACTAATTTTTTCAATGTTAAATATGATAAAAAAGGAGCCATAGCTTCTGGAATGTTTGAAGAAATTTATATTTCATTCAAACCCTTTGAATATAAATAATACTAGGATAATATGAGAATCAACACTTAATTTGATTCAATTGTGATTCCAATACATGCTTTTCCAGCAATCAATAGAGATTATTTAAGAGATCTATTTCCTCGTTATTTAGATTTTGGTACACTTGAATTAGGTGAATAGTTTTCTTAAGTATTTCTTTCATGTAAAATAGAGATTTCCAATACAAAATAAGGTACCACTTAACTTTGACTTTGAATTCATCATTATCAAAGACAATATGGATTTTAGAATAACTCCTTTAAGAGGCACTATTCCTGATAAAGGAGTAACTGAAATAGAAATACTTTATAGACCTTCCATAAATGTAACTGTCTATATGGAAGTGGAATTGATTGTAGGATCTGTAGACTTTGAACCTTTACCAATCAAATTAATGGGAACTGGTAGATCATAAAATGATAAAAATCTAAGTAGAATTAGAAGACCTGCTTCAGTAAGAAAACTACATTCTATTATTCAATAACCAAAATAAAATCAAAAATTGATTCCAAAAGATTTATAATCATCTTAAGAAAATATTGATGAATATTCTATACCTGAATAATCTCCATAAGTTATTTATGAGGCTACTGGAGGAAATGATTAAGTGGAATAGTTTTATCCAATCATAAAACCAACCACTAAAAGAATTAGACCATAAATAATTGAAAATGAAGTTTTGGAAATCAAATAAGGTGTATCTTTATAAGGTAGATAAGTTAAAGAGAAATAATATCTTGATCATTTTAATTAAATAGCAAATCTTGATAAAGAAAAAGAAAATAAACTCAAATAATGTATAGGGGATTCACCAATTTAAAAAGAAACTATATCTGAAATAATGAGTCAACGAGAACAATTTAATTAATAAATGTTAAATTAGATATATTAAAGTGGTATTACAAGATATCAACTTTAACTTAATATTGATAATGCAGTTGCTGATTAAATATTACCAAAATATGAATGTCAATGGGATTTTGAAAAAAATGATGTTATAAAAATCAAAAAAATAGTAAGACTTTTATTTTCTATTAGTTTTGAAACTAAAAAAATTCATCTATGCAGTAACAAGAGTTATATATAGAATCAGATTTGATAATAGAATGTCTAAAATTAGAGCATTTCTAAAAGGAGCAACAAAAAGATCAGAAGTTGAAAAATTAGTCAATCAAGATTGGTAAAAAGCAGAATATGCAGGTGTTGGCAAAAAAGATTTTGTAATTATATAATATATATAATAAGATTGCCTTTACTTTTGAATTTGAAGAAAATTGTATTGGGAAATTTGCACTTCCTGTTTAATACCAAGAAACAAATACTTATTCATTTAAATTTGATATTAATCCTAGAACAGGATTTGATGATTGGGCTCCAATTGAATAAATTCCTTAATCTGATTAAGAGGTTATGCAATATAAAAATTGGGATTATCCTCAATTAGTATATCATCCTCCACTTTTATAATAAGTAGTTTTTAGAGATGGAGCTGAAGAAGAAAAAGCAGTAAAAGGGAAAATGGGTCCAATTCAAAATATTTTATCAACTAATCAGAAATTAGAAGAAACTATAAAAATTGTGATGCAAAAGCCTCCAGAATATGAAGGAGTTTAATTATTATTACCTCATAAAACTCTTTAATGCTATTTGCCATAAGATACTTGTAATCTAATAGAAACTTCATTTTTATTAAATTATAGAACAATATCTAATATAGGATCAGATTTAGATCTTGAAGCTTCTAAAAATAATTCAATAATAAAACAAGAAATTAGTAATAGATAGCCAGGATATAATAATTTAAATTTACTATATGAATTAAAATTAGATTAATTTTATTATTAAGAGAGAAATATGTAATTAGCCTATGATTTTGGATTTGAGGATTAAATTGAATAATATTGTGCCTCATTAATGCATGATAAAGAAAAAGATGATTATATAACAGATGATAGTGATGAAGAGAGACCACCTTAGCCAGTTCTTGTAGATCATAATGAATGGCTTACAAAGTTAGAATAAGATGATAAAGCACTTTAACCATTTAAATAAGGGGAAATTATAGATCAATAAGAATTACTTAAGAATAAAATAGATACAAATTTAATGTATATAATTATTAAAAATGAAGGTTTGAAAAAAATAAATGGATCTCTACTGTTCCTTCTAAGACAAACGATTACAATAAATTTATTATAAAAAATGAGAATAAAATCATTATCTTATGAATTAGTATAATATTTTGTAATGAATATCATTTACAAATTTATTCTTTTAATTTAAAATAATAACAATTACTAATTCTATCCATATATTAAATTAGATATTTAATTTGTTTAGTTATATTGTTAGAATAAATATTTAAAAAAATAATATCAATAATTATAATTAAGTAAGCGCTTTTTAGGTACAAATTTAATATTAAATTCATAAATAATTATATAATTATTAACTTTATGAAAGAAGGAATTTTTGTATGATTTTTTGAGTTAGTAAATAAATAATTCAAAAAATATTTATAGTAAAATCTTTTAAAGCATTTTTATTTTTTTAATTATTTATATACTAACTCAAAAAAATTGAAACTTTGATTTAAGTTAGACTGAATTAAGAGTCGGAAATTTCAATTTTTGAGAATTTCTAGGAATCTGAATAAATCATATATCTTAAAGTAATAAGTTTTTGCAAAAATAAAATTTAACAAAGTATATTGTCCATTAGAATGGAGATATAAATTTATAATTGTGAAAATTCAAAATATTTTGAATCGAAAATAGAAGGTAATTTAGAGTAATATCTTTAAAAGTCATTTTTTTATATTTTTATTCATTAAATCAGTATTAAAATTAATTATTTACTTAAATGGGGTCTTGTCAAATTTGTAATGGATTATAGGCAAAAGAGATTAAAGAACAATTGAAACCAGAAATATACAAAAAAGAACTAACACTTAGATAAGTGTCTTTAATTCAGGCAAGATTTAGAGGAATCTTAACAAGAAAGAGAGTTATGATTCACAAATAAAAGGAAAATAATAACTAACAATAATAAAATTCTTTGACTGAAGACTTAATTTGTTATGAACAGGTTTAACAAACAATTACAGAAAGATCTACTGTTGCTTAGTAATAAGAAGAGCACGTAGCTATTTCAATGTCACCAAAAATAAGGAATAGCTACAAGTGGCATAATGGATCAAAGACTGGGTTTGGTAGAATGGTGATGGAAGACGGGTATTAGAATAAAATAATCATAGTTGTTACTTAGAAGGCACGGTATAGAATTATATTTAAAATAAGTGGTTGGATGGGTATTTGAATGGAGAAGGACTTTACAGTGCCCCTGATGGTACATATTATAGAGGAGAATGGAAAAATAGTTATATCAATGGTTAAGGAATCTATTTTAATTCAACTAAAAACATCACATATGAAGGTAAAATAACTTATCATACAAAACTAGGAAGATGGGAAAATAATTTACAACATGGTGAAGGGACTGAAACATATGCAGATAAATCAATTTACACCGGTACTTTCAAAAAAGGTTTAAAGGATGGGTATGGAAAATTCTATTTTAATGATGGGTCTTACTATGAAGGACAATTTTATTAAGACAAGTTTCATGGTTAAGGAAAATTTGTATTCAAATTTTAATAATTATAAGGTTTGGGATTGCGGTTAAAAGGTTTATAATGGAGAATGGTTTAAAGGGAAAAAGCATGGTTTTGGTTATTTGGAAATAAAAGGAAAATACTCATATGAAGGTTAATACAAAGATGGGTTAAAAAATGGAATTGGTTTATTGATTTGGAGTGATGGTAGAAAATACAATGGTGAATGGAAAGAGGGATAATAACATGGAAATGGAACATTCTAAAATTAAAAAGGAGAAACTTTCAGTGGTGCTTGGAAGTTTGGATTAATCTAATAACATTGATCTCTTTTTTCAAATTATTATTTTTTTTTATTTTATATAATCACTCATATACTAGATTAATAAATAACTTATTGTGATTCTATATTTTTGAGAATAAAGAAAAATTTTATTTAAACATCATATAGGATAAAAATTGAATGAAATGTATTATTTATAAACTATATCATACAATTACTGCTATCAAGTTTTAATTGTTAATTAATATATAAAATCTACATCTATTCTTTTTCTTCCAAAAATATTTTGTAATGTATATATATATATATAAAATTAGTCTAAAAATAGGAAGAAAATGTATAATTTGGATTAGCCTATTTAGTTTTAACTGAAAATTATGATAAAAATCTTTTATTGAGGCTATAATTTTATTTTTTATTAGATTTCAAATAAAACTGTGATAATAATGAATAGGATTAGTGTTAAATATTTAGAAATTGTTCTTATTTGTTGAAAATAGGACATTATTAAATATGTTGGATTTTGAGTAAGATTTTTATAAATTTGTTAAAGCTCAATTAGATAAGAAGAGAGGGATCAAACAACTAGCCTTTGATGATTCAGAAAATGATGAGGAAGTTATTAGAAGTAAGAAATTATCATTTTATTTAGGAAATAGGTTGTAGAGTGAGAACATCCAAAAAGTCTTATTAAATGAAAGAAAAAAGATGAAGATAAGTAAAATTTCAAAAGAGCAACATTTTGAAAACAAAATGAAAGATTTTACATCTATGAACACTTTTATTGATGTTAAGTAGTTTCTTAAAAATCTTAATGATTCATAAGTAAAAAAAAGTCACAAAAATTTATTCCAATCCTTAAAAAAATCATAATAAGATAGTGATGATGAAGATATATTTGATTATGCAGAAATTGTTTCAAAAAGTAAGAAATTTATTGCAAATTCTGAACATTTTAGAACTAAACCTAAAATAGAAGGTTATTTATAAATAGATAATGAGATAAGCTAAAGATCTAAGGCTATAGAAGAAGGAAGGTCAACAAATGAGAAATTCTATACTGGTATTGATAAATTAATAACTGATATTAATCATAAGAATGTTTTGTCTGAGATGGACAGAAAATATGAGAAAGAGAGAAAGAGGAATAGAAATTCTATGAATTCTGATAAAATTATATAGTCAGCAGTTCCATTAGATTTTGGGAAAGATGAAATTGCAATAAAAGCTGGAAAAAAATTTAAAGAATAATCATAAAAGGTTTTATAGCTCTTAGAAAGAACAACTAAAATGCTATACAAAAATAAGATACCTTAACCTCCAAATCCAAAAATCTTAAAGTAATAATAACAATAGTTGAAAGAACTTCATCAGTAATATCCTAGTTCATTTGAAATTAGAAGTCAAAAGCATTTATTAGTAAAAAGTAGAAGTGAAAGCAACGATTTAAAATTTCCTCTAGTAAATGGTAAACTAATAAATCCTCTTGTAAGAAAGGTTGTACCATTAAATTAATTGAACCATGCAACTCTTCCTGATATTAAACCTGGTTCATTTGTATCTTTAAGAGATGAAAAGAAATTTGAAAATCTTCATTATTTTAAAAGTCCATAAAATTAATAGAGACATACTGATCATCAAAATAATACTAGTCGTCAAACTGTTAGTTTGAATATAAAAAATTAAATTGGAGAATTTTTAACTTAAGTATAGAATTTTATTGATTAAGCTTGATGATGCTCAAGAGTAATTTTCTAAAATATATCCATCTGATTCTGAAATTTAGAAAATTTAAGATAATATGAGTAAGAATATGAGATAAATTGGCAATACTCCATTAGAAAGTTTAAAATATTTGACAAAGAGGAAATTCAATATATCTAAAAAGTATGAATTGAGAGGTAAGAGAAACAAAGTTCTTTAAATTTTATGATAATAATTATGATTAAAAAATTCAATTCATTTTAGAATCATCTCCTTTTATAAAATTATTATCTCTTTTTTTATAAAATTATTTATTAAAAATAAATTAATGTATTTAAGGTAATATTCAAAACTTCCCTTTTATGATGGATTTGAAATGTTCCGTAGGCTTAAAATGCTTAACCCTAGATAACATAATCCACTTATTTATGCAGTTAGACCACCTGAAACAAATCTTGGATATCCATTAAGAGAGGAAGTAAATGATACTGAGAATCAAAAAGTGCTTAACAAATTAATGCATAGATATCCTGATCTTAAATATGCTCCATTAGTAAAAGAAGGACTTGGAGAAAATTAAAATGAAGGATCATTATTTCGCTTCTTGAAGCTATTTAATACATTAAGAAAAAAGGGATATCATTTTGATAAGGTATATTAAATATTTAAATTATTAGGCTTTTGAAAAAGCAGAAATGGCATTTTAAGCAAAAATGTAAAGAAAAATAGATTAAACTAAAATAGCCAATAATTTAGCAATAACAAATTAAGCAAGATCATTTATGACATTAGCCTAATAAGAAATAGAGTTTGAATAAAGATTAAAAAGAGATAGATTATTAAGAGATTTAAAAATATAAGAATTTGAAAAAAATTCACCTTTGGATCCTGAAACTTAAGCTTTAATGGATAATTATAAGAAATCTCTTATAAAAGTTGTTCATCATGATGATAAGCCAGAAGAGACAACACACAAATAAGATGAAGAAACATTTACAGAGAGAGCAACAAATGTTTTTAATTGTTATTACAACAGAGTTGCAACATAAGATAAATTAAATGGTCTTAGTGATAAATAGATTCTCTAAAATATTAGATAATCACCATCTAAAATAAAAAATAGATTAAGAAAATATTTAAAAGTATTGTAACATTATAATGTTACTTTGGATGATGATGCTGAATTCTAAATACCTGAGGATGTTCCAGAGAATCTTAGATATTAATTGGAGAAAGGACTATTTTATATAACAAAACTATATGATGATATTGATTTTGAATATTCACATCATGAACATTTAGATACTTTGTAATAAGAGCTTGAGGAAAGACTTAAAGAATAAAAATAAAATAGACCTTAAGTCAATGAAGATGCAGAATTTGCTATTAAAAAAGTATTACAAGATGCAAACATCAAAGCTTAAAATACATATTCATTATTTGAGACACCAGATGAAAGATTAGCTAGATTACAAATTAAGTGGTTATATAGAAAAATAGATGAATATACATTAGTTAAGCTTAAACATGAAGATTAAAGTGAAGAAGCTTAAAAAATAATTGATGAAAAAATAGACAAATTAAGCAATTAAGCATAAAAATTAGTAGAAAATTTAAGAGTAATGAAATTAGAATTAGAATATTAATCATTTGCTAAAACTGGTAAATAATTGTTTTAAGAACATGCTGTTTTACTTAGAGATAAAGAGTTATTTGTAGATGCAAATAAATTATAAATGAATGATATTGATATATATTTCAAAATTCCTGTTGATTAAAGAAGACTTACTTAAGCAGGATAAGTTAATGATGACATCATTCATAATCTTATCAAAGTGTAACATTTATTATTAAAATTAGATAAAACTTAAAATCTCATGTAGCTAGATTAAATCATGATGATTTAGAAAATAGAGTAAGTGATTCTTCTTTAAAAGATGAAACAGCTGAAATATTAAAGAAAAAAATATTGGCTTAATTTAAGTTATTACATTTAGCAAAAAAAGAATAATTAAAAGGAAAAACTGAAGAAGATTAAATTTTAGAATCTAAAGAAGATGATTTCTCAATTGATGATGAAGCATTTAATGATAATATTGTAATTAATTATTCTTATTATTAGTCTGATAATTTAGAAGAATTACAAAAGAGATAAAGAGAAGCCAGACTTGAATTTGAAAAAGAAAAAGCTCTTGAAGCTAAATAGAAGGAAGATGAACTAAAAAGTTAATAAGCCATCAAAGGATAAAAAGGTTCAAAAAAGAAGAAGGCAAAAAAATGATCTTTTTTAAGAGTCCTCAAATATATAGTATTTATTTAATCATTAACCTTATCATATATAATTAAAAGTAAATGATTAAAACATGAAATCATTTATTTATTTATAATTTTTGTTTTTGATAATAATTAATTTAGATAATTAAAGTTTAACATGTCATCTATTTTGAATAAATTTAAGAAGCAGACAACTAATGATACTCCTAATGGAATTAAATTTGAAAATACATCTTTTGGTCAATAAGCAGGAACTTATTAACCACCAATAATCCCTGCTGTTTAATTAACCTAATCTAATTAACCAAGATAAAAAGGTAGACCAGGTGGAGGTAAGAATAAATAAATTACAATAAGGTTGGGATGATGAACCATAGACTTAACCAGAACAAACTAGTATTTCAACTAATAAAGCAACCAACTCAATTAATTTATTGAACAATACTCCACCAAAATAAAATAATGACTAAAAAAGTAATCATGAAGTTCTTCTGCCTCCTTAACCTGTTATAGGGAGTGTTTAATTGAGTAGAATTACAGATTACAGAAAAGGCTAGCTGTTAACTTATGAAGAATTAGAATTAGGAGGATTGTAAAAAAAGTTTTAATACTTAGTGATTATGAATTTCATCTTGTAGACGAAGTCATTAAATTAGGTGGAATAAAGTTAAAGCAAAGTGATAACGTTCTTAAAGATTTCTCAAGATCCATAGCAACTATTTAAGATTAACTTATAGGAAGCATACTTTTAAATAAATTGCATAGCGAGGATAACTGGAAAGTGTAGATTGTAAGATTTTCATTAAATTATTAGAGATGTATATATGCTATTCAATATATATGTCAATAGTTTTAAAATTATAGAGAATTCTTTTAAATCAATTAATAATATTTGAAGGTAGACACTGATTAATAATTACTCTCAGGAGCTATTGATTAGACATTAGCAGAAGTTAATGGTTAAAAAGTTACAAAGCAAAAAGTAATTAATAATTATTAAATAAATAGGAATTTGAATTTGAATTTAGAGAACCACCTAAAATATAATAACCTCTCTAAAGCTAACAGCCAAATTTAATAGATATTTTAGATGTTACATCTAATGATCCATAATAATAAAAGTAACAGCAATAAAAACTTAATTTAAAATAACTAAAAATTAAATAACCAACTGCTTAAATATAATAATAACCTATAGTATAATAATAACCTCTAGTATAATAATAACAAGTACAATAGAAAAATACATAATAAATTAATTTATTAGAAGCATTTAGTGATATATCTTTAGAAAATTATAATTAATAATAATTCTAACAAACATAATAATAATCATATTAATATTAGTAATAACCTTAAATCTAGTAATAATAATAGAATCAATTTCAATACTAATAATAATAATAATAATAATAATAATAATAATAATAATAATAATAGATTTAAAATGGAATAAGTTTTGATGATTTACTAAATTCATAGACAACAAATCAATAGTAAACTTAACCAAAAAAAAATGCCTTTGGATTCTTAAAAAAAGATTAATAATAAACAACAATCTAAAATAATTAATAAACTCAACAACCAATTAATTTACTTAATTCTCCACCATAAATTTATCAATAACCTTAAATCAATAATTAAGTTCCACAATAGTAAGCGTAATTTATTTATAATCAATCTCAAAGCAATTAAAATTAATAGATGTATTTACAACCCCAAACACAATTTAACAATCAATAATAATCCTAAAATAATAAAAAGGATCTAATCGATTTTCTAAATATGTGATTATTATAATACATCATAAATATAAATATAATTTAATATGTAATTAAAAACATCCAAATTCAATAAACGACCTCTATTAGTTATATAGATTTAAAAAACAAAAACAATTTTGAAAATGTTCTTTTGAAATATGATGGATATTTCATAAAGATCTCTAATTAAATTGTACTAATCAAAAGTAGCTTAAAATATGTACTTTTATTTTTTTATATTTTGTTAAGATTAGAGAAATTTAAGAAATTTTATTTTAAATAGCTAGACTACTAGAGTTTTAAATAAGAGTTTTTCCTCTAATCCCATATAAATTATATCAGTTTAAGATTTATAAAATCCAAAGAATATTTGGACTTAAGTGACAAATTTTCTTTTATTTTTAACTCCTCTTCTAATAGTTTATTTATAAAATAACCTAATAATGCCATCATTTTCAGGATATGGCAATTTTGATCTAGATTTAGGATTATATCATTCAATTTTTACCTTATAATATCCTGAAATGATCAAAGAGATATTTACTTAGCCTTAAACTTTTAATGTTTTCTTAGATAACAATTGATTAGGAATTAGACAAAATAATAGTGAACTGATTGAAATATTGTATTTGATTATAAGAAAATGGATGTAAAATAAGAATATTTATGAATTATTATTAATTTATTGTAATTAATGGAAATATTACACTTGGCATTACTAATTGTAATTTCTATTATTTGCTTTAAAATTGGTTAAGGAGTGGGACAAAAAGAAGTTGAAAAGCAATAGTCACAATATATCTAGGTAGAGATTAATTTATAATTAATTAGTTGCAAGAGAATGAATAATTAATTGAAGAAATTGATGAAGATTTTATAAAATAAGTAGAGCAATAAGAATAAGATTTAAAAGAAGCAATTAAGAAGTTCAATGAGATTAATCAAAGAGATAAGTAGTTATAGAAATAATTGAATGATTTAAAAAATGCATAAACGAATAATGCTAAACCCAAGGTTCAATAACATGGTAGTTAATTTAATGAAATATTTAGAATTATTAAGTGATAAGGATTTTGATAATTTATTAGATGAAGGTTTTGTTGTAGATTAGGAAATCAATGAAACATAATTAGATTAAGATTTAATTGAAGCTAGTAAATGATTTGTCAATTGTTGTTTCTATTAAGATTATATCTTGATAAATACTCTTTAACATTATCTTTATTCAACTCTAATCAATTAAATAGAAATAATTAACAAATATAATTATTTATACTAATACTCATTTGAAACCTTTTTCCTCCTATGATTTAGACCAAGCTTATGCTATAGTTCGTTTCATATCATCATCACCATTTTAATACATTTCTTTCATCATATTCATTAAAGATGCTTATGGATCTTATTTATCTAATTTAGATGGGTCTGTATCAATCTTCATATTCATTAATTATTTACTATTTTATCCTTAAAGTTCAATTAATCCCAATGCTTTTGGTCTTTCTTAATTAAATTGATGACAACTGAATTATTAGTTACTTTGATAGAACATTCCTTATCTTTTAATTCATCAAATGTTTTCCTAATAGAAAATCTAAAATTATTTAATAAACTTTACCTCTAATTAACACCTTTATAGCCTTTAATTTTGATATCAACACTATTTGAAGTAAATGATGAAATAATATCTTCTTTAGGCAATTAGCCAATTCCCTCCAAATTCAAAAACACTTTGACTTTATTCCCTTCTTAATCCCAAGCATACTTTGTAATTCCTTAGTATTATATAGTCTCCTAATCCTTTTATTATGGTTATTCAACTTTTTATGGAGTTAGTATTTTAATAGAGTTTTCTAAATATTTGATTCGAGTATTTAAGTAATCAATATTAGATTTACGTTTGAGGGTTGAAAGTACTTATTAGATTTCTGCTAAATCTTACTAGAGCTCTTCTAATTCAGACATTAAATTTATATATATTATTAACCTAATTGGTTATATATATGAATTGTGTCTTAGATTATTAGAAAAAACTTTTTATGTGTGATATATATGAATATTAAACTGTATTATAGCATCATTCATTTAAGCAATCGCATTCTGGATGTCTTTATGAAAAGCCCATCAAGCATTCTACTGATCTAAGGTTAACTGATTATAAGCATTCAGTTTAGAAATCAGCAACACATTATTCAACATTACATCCTGAAAGAATGAGATTCCAATATGCAGCATTTGGGCAGTATTTTTTTCCGCATTCATATCTAAAAATTTCTATATTAAATAGTACAAGTCAATCAATTTCTTATTTTTTGATTCATAAGCACAGTCACGATAGCATGGGTCTGTTTCTCCACATTTGTTTTTGCAGTTCAAAGCTTTTGAAGCACAGCCAAAGACTTCAGCAACACAACCATTATATTCTTTAGGGCATTTTTCTTTAACGCAAGCTTCGTCAGCTATGACAGCAATAGCAAGTAGAGCAATAAGGACTGATTTCATTGATAATATTATTCGATAAAATATCTAGGATTTAAATTTGCCAAATTTTTTTATAAGCCACCCCCATAAAATTTGAATTACGTAATTAAGTTATTGGCAATTCTAATATTATTTATATGTATCTTATCACAACAACTAATTATTATATTATATATAATCTAAAGTTTTAAAGAAAATTATGATCTGATCTAGTAGAATTTGAGAGTTTGAAGCAAAAATATTTTAAAATCAAATTTAAACAATTTATATATTTATTATGAGAATAATGTATTGTATGAGTGAATCACTTATACTTAAAGTTTATTCTAATCCTAAAAAATAAAATTATGAACTAACTTGATCTAAACAAAAATATAAAAGTCTTTATAAATATTAGTTTTACTAAATGATATTCTAAACCTATATTACAAGGAATTTTTGAATTTAATACATATGAAATTGAACATAGGTATTAATAGTTAGGTATACTATTAATAAAGGCTATTTTCTATTAATTACACTAATATACTTGATTATAACAATTATAAAAATTAAGAAAAAGAGAATTCATATATATTATAAGTTAAAGTTATTATTAACGAATATATTGATTTAATAATAATAATTATTTTATAAGAATATTATTTAGGTTTCTTGGATCAAATTTTACAATAAAAATTAGCATACTTAAGTGATAACTACTATATTCTATAAAATATAAAAAATTAATATTGAAATCACAAATTTTATACTTTCTTAATTTTCTTAATAGATAAAATTTATGAAGCGTGACGCATCATTGAATTAGTACGCATTACCTCCAATTATTAAAATCCAATTGTCAAAAAAGATTTAAATAATAATACAGATATGTTAGTATAAGAGGAAGATTATTTATTTGATAGTGAATTCACTATTGCTACAAAAACCATACATAAGACATGTGATAAAACATATGGAGCTGTGAATCCTCCAATTTACATGAGTTCAACATTTGAATTGAAAGATGTAGACTCATTTGGGAAAGGTTACTTTTACACTAGATGTGGCAATCCTACAAGAACAGTAGTTGAAGAAATAGTAGCAGAAATAGAGCAAAACAACTATGCAATTGCATTTAGTTCAGGAATGGCTGCTATTTAATGTGTGATTAACTTATTAAAAGAAGGAGAGGAGATGCTTGCAATGGATGATCTTTATGGTGGAACAGTTAGTTATTTAAGAGCAATTGCAATGGAAAAGCATGGCATAAAAGTTAAATTTGTAGATATGACAAATATTGATGAAGTCTAAAAATAAATGAATGAAAATGTCAAACTTATTTATTTGGAGACTCCAACTAATCCAACCATGAAATTAACTGATATTAAAGAACTTTGTTAGATTGTGAGATAAATTAAAAATAATGTAATTGTTGCAGTAGATAATACTTTTGCAACACCCTACCTATAAACACCATCAATCTTAGGGGCTGATATTACATTAAACTCAGGCACAAAATACTTAGGAGGGCACTCAGATATCTTATTTGGTACTCTGAGTTGTAGAAACAAAGAGTTATATGATGATTTATTTAAGATCTCCTATCTAACTGGAGGATGCCCAAGTCCATTTGATTGCTACTTAATAACAAGAAGTTTAAAGACTCTTGAAGTCAGAATGAAATAATAAATTAAGAACGCTTATATTTTAGCTAAGTACCTTGAAAGTCATCCAAAAGTTGAAAAAGTACTCTATCCAGGAATAGAGAGTCATCCTTAATATAATTTGGCAAGAAAATAAATGAGAGCTGGAGGAGCAATGATTAGTTTTTATATAAAAGGTGGAGCTGCTGAAGCCGAAAGAATGATGAAAGGACTTGAATTATTTACTATGGCTGTTAGTTTGGGAGGAGTAGAAAGTATAATATTTTTTCTATTTTAGGTTTAATATAAATTCCAGCAAAAATGACTCATTCAGGGTTAACTGAGTCTAGAAGACAAGAACTTGGAATTACTTAAAATCTTATAAGGCTTTCAGCAGGTTTAGAACATGTTAGTGATTTAATCAAAGATTTAGAGCATGCATTAAAGAATATCTGAATATATTAATCTATTTTCTACATTTATTAGATAAATTATTTTAATTAAAAAAATAATAATTATTGAGTATATTTTAAGTATAATAATTAAAAATTATATGTACATAATTTATAAAATGCCATAAATAATAATTGCGATTAATACTTTTCCCTCCTTCAATATTAATCTCAATCAATACCTAATATCTCGAATACGCTGATGTAGCTCAGTCGGCAGAGCGGTTGGCTGTTAACCAACAGGTCGAAGGTTCAAGCCCTTCCATTAGCGCTTTTTTCTTTTTTTTTTAATTAAAAATTATATTAATTGCCTGATTATTTTTCAAATATATATATATCTGATTCTATAATTCAATAATTTATATCTTAAATTATTGAACTCAATGATCAAATTTATTATTTTTTTAAATATAGGTATTGCTCTGAATAATTTATGAAATATAATAAATAGAACTTAATTGATTATGTTAATTATTATATCAATTAATAAAAGCATTATGTGAATTATATTTAAGTATTGATATTATGTCTTAACTCATATTTAATATTATTTAATCAAAGTTAACAAGTTAAGTTGTTCAATCATTAATATATAGAATAAGATTATATTGATTATAAAGTTCAATTAGGTTATTATGATTATATTTTTTTAATAATTGATAAACTAATTAATTATTTTATGTCATCATTAGGATAACATGTAGAGTTATAACATCGAGATTCAATTTAAGAATCTTTATTAAATGATTTATCTATATATAATTAAGAAGACTATCATTTAGAAATCTCAGAAATCATGTTAAATGGAAAATAATTCTAGAACAAAGCAAAATTGGCTATGGAAGAAAGAGCAGAGAAAGAATAATAATAATCATAATAATACATTTTAGAGAAAATTCATTAACTATATAGTGACAGTTTGGAAGGCATATAAAAGAAATTAAGTATATAAAAATGATTTATTATAGATATTTTATATTAATTACCAATTTTGAGACCAAAACAAATAATTTTATGGAAATTATTAATAAATTTATTAACTTTATTTGTTTTTTTTGAAATCCCTGTTTATATAGCATTTGGAGAAGGTTTCTGGAAGGTATAACTATATTTATTTTAAGGAATTAGAGACAGAATATTAAGTTGCAGCATTGTATTATACAATATCTCTTTTGCTTGTAATAGATATGGGTTTAGATTTTATAACTGCTTATTATAAACATGGAGTTGTGATTACAGATAGTAGAAAAATAGCAATAAATTATTTATATGGCAATTTCTTTTTTGATCTTACAGCAGTAAACCTTTATTATATAGAACTAGCTAATAATTTCAATTGCTAGATTATCTTTATTCACACCTAAATTTAGATTTATCTTTTTAATGTTTTATTTTAAATTACCTTCATTTTTAAGATTTGATAATTAATTAAATGAAATGGTATTACTTTATAGAAGAACAAGAGTATTTTATGAAGTAGGAAAACGAGTTATATTTATGTTTTATGCCTTCAATGTATTTTTGTGTGTTTTTTATATGATTGGATTACATAGTGTAGCATCTAATTATAATTCATGGTTAACAAATTAAGGTAATTTTGGAATTATTTTGGATCGACCTTTGCATGAAATATATTTTTTTGGATTCTACTTTTCTTTAGGAACTGTTTCAACTACTATGGGTTATGGAGATATAGTAAATATATTATTTAAATAATTAGTCTCCTATGAATATAATAGAGTGTTCTTGGTCTCTTTTAGGAGTAATGTTTGGACTTATTATCTTTGCAAATAATATTAACTCATTTTAAAAGATGATGGAAGAATATAATTTAAATGATCTTAAGTAATTTAAATATAAGGTAAGCATCAATAAATTTATGGAATAAAAATAAGTACCTTCTGATTTACAGGAAATAATAAGGTAATATCTCAATGAATATTGGCATTAATAAGGATTGAGAGATTAAGAGCAGGAGATATTGGTTTTTTAAATGTTGCCTCCTGAATTAAAATAAGAATTAATGTATTAGTCTTATGGACAATTTTTGTAAACAACATTTTTCTCAAAATATTTTTCAAAGGCATTCTTAAAGGATCTCTCAGAAAAAATAACAGAAGTTAATTATTCAACAGGAAATGTAATAATTGAAGCAGGTGATTCTAATGATGATTAAGCCTTTTATTTTATATAAAGTGGAACTGTAATTATAAAATGTGGTAATTCAGAAATTGTGAAAAAGAGATTAATATAGGGTGACAGTTTTGGTGAATTAGCCTTTATGACAGGTATTGAATTTATAATTTAATTTAATAGGATAAGCAAGAACAGCCACAGTATATTCTTAAGAATATAGTTAATTACATAAAATATCTAGAAGTGATTTTTTAGATGTCTTAAAAAATTATCCTGATGATTATGAAATATTTTGTAATTTGAGAGATGGATTAATTTTTTCATCACATTTTCAATCTCTTGGTTAATTTTGTTGGACATGTCATAAATTTGATCATTATGCATGTTCATGTCCTTTTACTCATTATATTCCTTAAGTTTAGAATTTGATTGAAAATACTACTGTTTTGGATTCAAATTAAAATAGAATTAAAATATAACGATATAATAGAAAACATTGGCCAACCAGAACAAATTAAAAGATTTTGGTTAATGGTTTAAATAAATCAAAAATTTAGAAATATGCTAATGTTATGGTACTTTTGTAATTTTAATTAAATAGTTGAAAACTGCTAAAAATATTAATATGTAAAAATAATCTCCTTTGAAAAAGTAGACAAGTATCCAACAAAGTGTATAAACATTTAGATAAGAATCTGAATCAAAATCAGAATTTAATAAATCTGAATTTATATAGGATGATTCTTTTAAATTAAATTAATAAGATGAAAATGAATAAAATTAATAGACAGAATAAAAGGATAGTAATTAAAGTAATCTCTCATCATTATAGACTAAACTTAATTAATACAGAGATTAACAATAATATCAAATTCATTAGGGATTAGATTATTTTGATGAACCACAAAATTTCAAATATTACTAGAAAAAATATAATTATTCAAATTACAAAGTATTCTAAGGATTTAAAGAATCTTAAATGAAAAAATAAATAAACATAAGAAAATCATTTATGCCAGGAACATATAATTGATTGTTTATTTATTTTATTATTTGTAAAATATTAATTAAATTAAAGAAAAAATAAAGAAAAATTAATGACATCCTTACCAAAATAATTTAGAAATCTTTTAAAATAGATCGATTTATTTAGCATACCAGTTCCAGTGTTAACAAATGATGCTAAATCTTAGTATTCAAGTTCCTACAGTGGACTTATCTCTATTTTGGCTTCAGTTCTCAGTATAGCTTACTTTGCTTATGTAATCTCAGAGTGGGCAAACGGTAACATTCCTCCCACTATTACAACTAATTAATCAGCATAAGCTTATTCTGAATAAGATTTGGATGATAATTTTATTTAGTTCAAACTAAATGATCCAACAAATCATGATCCTTTTAAACGAAAAAATAATATTATTACTCCACTATTATTTGTAGTTGAGAATTTTAAAATTGTTACTGCTCCAACACCATTATTTAGTGATGAAAATAAACCATTTACTATTGGATTAAAGGAAGGAACACTAGTAGTTAATAATTTAAATAATAAAACTGATGGCCAATAATATAAGCCTTATAAAAATTATTTGTTAATATTTATTGAATGTTTAGAATAATATTTAGATGATGATAGTAATTGTGCTAGTCAAGAAGAGATAGATTAATATATGTCAGGTTATCATGGATTTTTATCAATTATTATGTAGTTGGAGTAATATAACTATAGATAAGATCAAATAGAATATATCACAAAATAAGCTTATTAAGCACTTTCTCCAGCCTATATTTAATATACTTAAATTACAATTCAATAAAAAGAGATTGATCTTGATGATGGTTTGTTATTTGAAAATAAGGTTACTCATAAATTAATTAATGATTTCTATATAATCAATCAATCGATTGATAATCAGTATATATAAAATATTGCATCATCATTTTCAACTTAGAAATTTTAGTTAAATGCTATATTTGCATATTAAATAAGCATTGATAATTTATAAATTTCAGAAAGGATTATCAAACCAAAATTAAGTGCTGTTTTGGCTTATATAGGTTCAATAGTCTAAGTAATATTTTTGTTGAAGTATTTGGCTATCTTCATAAATAATCAATAGTTTAAAGAAGAAATGCAAACCGAAATTCTTCAAATGTATTACCCAAAATTGAAAAATGTAAAAGTTAAAAGAAATTTTTTTGGTAAGATAACTTCTACAAATCAGAGTAATGAAGACAATCAAAATTAAATCTTTATTAAATAATATGAAGATCATCTTAATTTAGCATTTAAAAAAATACGGTTGATAAATATTATTTATGAGATATCCAGGATTGAACTATTAATGGAGAAACACTTTGGAATTCAAAAAATATGTGAGTGTAACTAATTGGGTAATGAATTTTAGTTTTCTGATCATGATAAAAAAAATGAATCTCCCAGAGCATCTATGTTATCAGTAGGAAATTAAAGTCCTTAACCAAAAGATGATATCTTTAGATTATTTAATAAAAGTTGATAAATTTAGAATTAAAATGACATCATCGATATAATATTTAAGAAATATATAGTTATTTTATAATTTATTTATATGATCTCTATAATTTACTTATTATTTGGCTTAATATAGGGCTAAGATGATAACATTATGAATGATGTTATTGATGATAGACAAGACAGAAAAGATCTTATGTAAGAATGGGAATTGATGATGCAAGACTTTATTCCAGATGATATGATAGCATTTGAATTAAAACAAGGCACTATTGAATTATTGGAGGAAGGAATTCATCATCCAACAACAATACGTGGAGCTTATTTTATCAGTATGGCAACTAAAGAGAAAATAAATTTTTTAGTAAGAATCAATAATAATTGTATTATAGATTAAAGATCCAAAAGGTAATATTATTAATAGTAAAGCAGCTAAGAAGGAGGCTGTTTTCTCAGTTAACATTACTGAGCCTGGAGATTATTAATTTTTGTTTGATAATGAAAGAGGCAGTAGTGATCAGATAGTAACATTTGCTTTAGATATTCACAATGCCACTTATGAACATATCAAACATCATGATTTGGATCCATTAGTAAAGTAGATTCAGCATTTATAAAATGGAGTCAACGATATAATGTTTGAAACCAAATTTTCATAATAGAGAAGAGAAAGTGGTTATGAATCAATGCAAATAAGTCATTAAAGATTATTTTATTTTACAATTCTTGAAACCATAATTATAGTTTCAGTGAGTGTATGGTAGGTGTATTATATAAAAAGTATTATTGATAATCGTAGATTGATTTGATTTATTGATAAATCTATATATTAATTAGTGTGATATTGATAAATAATGATTAAATTGTATGTGTTGGTTAAGAACTTCTACATACCTTAAATAAAATAATTTTAAAATATATAAATATCTAAAATGCGTAGTTTGAGTAGATTCCTTTTCCGTCGTCCTTAATTATGGATAAATAGATGTGCAATCCCTTTACGACATAAATGTGTTTATGGATTTAGTAATGGTAACTTGTGATTGTATTATTAATTAGGTTTTAACAATAACTCTAACATTAAGTTGAAAACAATCCCTCTTTAAAATTACTCATGTAATCCTGATGAGATTGACTCTAAAATAAACTCAACTGATTTTTGTCTTTTTAGTTCAGTCCAGCCTATCTTTCCGAATAATCCTATGAATTGTCAAATAAAGATAGGGAATCTTAAACGTATAACTAAGCCACTTCTTTACACTATCATATCACCAGACAATGGTGAAATCTTTACAATAGGAATTGCTTTAAGTAAATAAGTTGAAAAAAATTTAAATTCTGAACTCAAAGTATTGGAATAAAGAGATGCAAATGGAAACATTTTAATTAATGATCCAATGAGTAATACATTTAATTTAGATATAATTTCAAAGTCTGTAAGTTATTTAATGCAATATAATAGAAAAATTACAGATTCAAAATAACAAAAATTGAAATGACCCCAGATGGTATATTTGCATAAGGAATACCATATAAAGATAGACCACTTACTTAAGCAGAATAATAAATTGATATTAAAAATGAAATCAAATAGATAATTTCCCTTGTATCTTAAATCAGAAAATTGGCTTAAGTAGATAGAATAGAAGCATTTACAGATGTGAAATAATCCCTACTTGATTCAAGCGAAAAATTAACACCTACTTAAATAGATGAATTAGTTTATTAAGTTGCTGCTGGTCTTTCAAAATTATAAACTAGTAATTTGAAATTAAATACATCTTAATTTGTTTAATAATTATTAGAAAGTCAAACATATATTGAAAGATTATTCATTTTAAGAAAGCAACTTGAAAATATGTCAGGAGTATTAGATTTAGTAAATAAACATTTCAAAGAATCAGATTCATCATTATTAAAATTGCATTAATAAACATTAGCTAAATTAGCAACTGAATATATAAGATAGAATTATTTGAAAGATACTCCAAATTCGTAATCTTATGGAGGATCTGGTGGAACTTAATCTTAAGGAGGAGAGAAGGTACTTAATTAATTAATTTAGCAAAAGCAATCGGTTTTGGTTAAAAAATATTAAGATAAACTCTCACTTATTCCAGATGAATCATCAAGAGAAAAAGTGAAAAGAGAAATTGAAAGATTTAGTCTTCTTGATAAATAAAGTTCTGAATTCCATAAGATTAATTCATATCTTGATGAAGTTTTCAGTATTCCTTTTTCTAAATTTACTGTAAAAATAAAATTTAAATATTATAGCCTGTTTAATGGGATATTTAATATGCAAAAGATATTTTAAATAAAGAAATAGAAGGATTAGAAAAAGTAAAGGAAAGAATTATTGAAATGATTTCAGTCAATAAATTAAAGAATTCAGGTTAAAAAGCTAAAGGTTTTATACTACTTTTAAATGGTCCACCAGGAACTGGTAAAACATCAATTGCAAAGAGTATTGCAAAGGCTTTAAAAAGAAATTCTAGATTCATATCTTGTGCAGGTGTAGCAGATCCAACATTCTTTAAAGGACATAAAAGAACTTATGTTGATTCAATGCCAGGTGTATTTATAAGAGAATTAATAAAATCAAATACTATGAATCCTGTATTTATTTTAGATGAATTGGATAAAGTTTCAAAACATTAATCAGGTGGAGCAGATCCATATTATACATTATTGGAGATTTTGAATCCTGAAGAGAATCATAACTTTACTGATCATTATATGGATATTAGTGTAGATTTTTCACATGTGATATTTATTTTAACATCAAATGATACACTTTAAATGTTAGAACCACTTAAAAATAGATTAGAAACAATTGATATTTAAGCATATATTTAAGAAGAAAAATTATAGATTGCTACAAATTTCCTTGTAAATAAAAGTATAGAAAGTAATGGAATAAAATAATAAATGATTAAATATGATAATGAAACTTTGATTAAAATAATTAAAGCATGGTGTTATTAAGAGAGTGGTGTGAGAGAATTAAAAAGATGTTTAGAAAAGATTGCTAGAAAACATGCAACTAATTTATTAACTGCTAATCCTAATCTATGTGATAAAGTAGATGAATTAAATTAAGTTGTATTTGATCCTACAATTTAAACTTTAGATTTAACCAAAGATAATAATTTAGAACTTATATCTTAATATTTAGGACCACCTATATTTGATATTTAATTAGAATAAAGATCAGTTAAAAAGTTTCCACCTGGTTAAGTTAATATTCTAACAGTAGGAGGTATGATAGGCCATGTTTTAAGTGTTGAAAGTTGTTTTGATGAAAGTGAAATAGAAAAGAAAGGATAGATTATAGCATCTGGAAATATTAAATTAGTTTTATAAGAATCATTAAAGTTAGCCAAAATTAATGCTTATAAATATCTAAATGAAGAATAAAAATTATAATTATCAAAATCAGCAATCCATATGCATTTTAATGAAGGAGCTACTCCTAAGGATGGACCTTCAGCAGGTACAGCTATAACCACTGCTTTAATAAGTTTAGTTACTAACTTTACAGTCCCTAGTAATTTAGCTATGACTGGAGAAATCTCTTTGAATGGGCAAGTCTGCAAAATTGGTAAATTTTATTATATTATTTAAGGTGGTCTATAATAAAAGCTTATTGCTGCAAAAACATTAGATATAGTAGATGTCATATTACCTTATGCTAATTTAGGTGATGCTTTAAATTTACCAACTTAATTGTTAAAGGGACTCAATTTGTATTTCGTAACTGACTATCAATAAATTTATGATTTGATTTTTGATTAATAGATTGGAAATGTTAATTATTCAGTAAATACAATTAAGAATGGAATTTATGAAACAATTTAAAATAGATAAAAAGAGTAAATTTAATAATCAATTAATTGTTGAATATGTAACTGAATCATTATTATTATTGAAATTCTTGTAATATTTGTTAGTTTTATTCTATAATTTTTTTCATATAATCGTCATCTATTTCTTAATTAACATCTATCATTTAATATTAATTATCTATATCTTCAAAATTGTTCTCTTAATTATAACTATGAATATTATTTTCTTCTGTTCCAATAAATAAGGCTCTATCCAAATAAGCTATACATTTAAATGTTTCAGGTTTTGTAAATTTAGAAACTACTTTCTTATTAGGATAATCCCAAGTTAAAAGTAATCCATTACCTACACTTACTAAATATCCAGTTTCTGGAATTACTAATAATTTTTAAATAGGATGATCTAATCCTGAAAAATAAGTAAGTGCTTAATTATTATTAAGATTCCATAATCTTATAGTCTTATCATGAGAACCACTAAATAGAATTTTGCCATCTAAAGCCAAACAAGTTATACTATCTTAATGGCCAACAAATGAATCATCATGTTCATAAGTGAACATATTAATTAAATAAATTGTACATTTATTTCCAGCTGCAATAATTCTTTTTGTTGTCTTATCAAATAAAAGACACAGAATTTCATTGCCTAATGAATCTGCAGTAGATTTAGGATTGGCTAATAATGATTATTTCAATTAAGGCATAATATAACTAGCCATTAATCGTTATTTACGTTCAAATATCTCCCAAACATTTATTCTACCATCATAACCACTACTAAACATATATTCTTCACTATCAAATGTACAACTTGTTAATGCACAAACAGTATTATTATGCTTAGATTTAGCTTTACTTTAATCAATAATTAAAAATGATCCTATTTCTATATTCCATAATCTAATTTCACCATTGTCATGTCCAGTAGCTACTAGATTTGCATTTGTTAAATAATGCATACTAGAAATTTCATTTTTCTCACCTGTTTCAATTGTAGATATACAAGACATGTCCTTTGAATCCCAAACTCTTATTGTATTGTCTAAAGAAGCTGATACTAATTTCTTTGGTTCAAATTCTTATGGACAATCTATACCTAATATTTCAATAACTGGCCCTTTGTGTTAATCTAAAAGATTTCCTGTTCTAACACCCCTTTTAATTCTCAAAACATCAATAAATTATTCTGTATATACAACCAATGCTTCCAAATGATCTTTAATAATAATAAGAATATACCTATAAGATCTATTCCTAAGATTTTGCATTCGTATAATTTGAATTCTAATACCTATTTATCACTAGAAATGTTCATAAAATATACTCTGCCTTATTCATCAGAAGCTATCAATTCTTAATGAGTTTGACTCCATCTAATAGATGTGAATAGACATTTATGAGGATTCTTATAACTAAAGAATTTACCACCAGATTCACCATAACCTAATATTTTTTAATCAAATGCTATTGAGAATATTGCATTGTCTTTTTCAACTTCTATAATTTATATCACATGTAATCGATGGAAAGTAAAAAAACTTTTTTCTAACTTTACATATGTCTATTATTATTGAAGAGTTGGTTGTGAATTCATAAATAAATGCAATGAACCATCAGTATCACCTGCATAAAGTTAAAATTGAGGCATCTTTACTAAAAATGCTGTTATGTAGGATTGCTGATTCAAAGATTTCTTCATTGAAAAATCATAAATTATTTATACAGTTACAAACCATGGATGATACATAAATTCTCTTCCACTCTCTTATTTCCAAATTCTTAATACTTTATCATTACTAGCTGAAAATAGACTATCTTAAGCAAATGCTAAGGCCATTATAGATCCAGTGTGACCAAATAAAGTTTATATACAACCTTTCTTAATATCATTTTCCCATAATTTTATAGTACGATCAGCACTACCTGTGAATATATAATAACTGTCAGAAAATTTCTCAATTATTAAACATCTTATTTCTCCTTTGTGATTATTTTTATTCTCTACAGGTTTTAATATTTCATAATCTTTGGATTGTAAGAAATGTTTAGTATCAAATCCTTTTTTTCTAAATTGCATCATTTATCCATTGCTCAAACCAAGTGTTATTGCTTAATCTGAATAATGATAAGCTGTAATTCTTGTTTAAGGATCTTCTTTAAATTTTGATTTTTTTTCATAAAACAAAGGATCTGTAAACTTTTTGACTCTAATAAATTCCATTATTTTATTATAAAGAAAATTAAAATTATATTTTTGTTATTCATATTTAATATATCATGCAAAGAGTCCCAATAAATCTCTAGGTGTGACATATTTGAGTTTATCTCCATCTTCAACAAAGACTACATCATGTCTTTCTACAATTCTCTCTAATTAATTAAGATCAAGTGTATTTGGAACAAGAACAAATTCTTTAGAATGAACTTTTTTAGCAAGATCAGCCTTAAATAATATTGTAATAATACATGATTCAATTTTTTATTAACAATTCCAGCCAATATTTTCTTTTCGAAAACAACTGACAATAATTTACCATTCTCTTAGAGTGGAACAGCAGGTTGTGTCTTTAAAATTTCCAAACATTATCCAATAGTTGCTGTTGTTACATCTAAAGATTAAATATCATGTAAATTCAAATCAGTAATAGGTCTTCCAGCTAATGGATGTCCTGTCTCTTTTAATTCATCATAAGGAATAAATTTATTTTCTATCATCCAAGTCTTGCTCAAATGTTTAGTGATATAATTTCTAATATTATCAGGTAAAATGATGACAATCTCATTATAATATAGATATAATTACTCTTTAATTTTCTGTAAAATTTTGAGATTTGGCCCATTCCAAAGCTCCCCATACAGTTGCACCAGAAGAACCACCACATAACAATCCTTCTTGAGATAATAATTTCCTTGCCATAAGTAAACTATCATAATCAACTGTTTTTACCCAACCGTCAATTTCAGTCTATAATAATAGTTTATGATTTTACTCTATCTAAAACTTTAGGAATAAAGTCATAACCAATTCCTTCAACTTTATATGTTTTAATATCAGTTTTATTAACCTCTTAAGGTAAGGCTAAATCAGATCCATAGGGATCAACAGCAATAACTTTACATCCTGGAACTCTTTCATGAATTTTTCTACCAACTCCAGTAATGGTACCACCAGTTCCTGTAGAAATAATAACAGCATCCAATTTATCATCACATGCCCATAAGATTTCTTCAGCTGTACCTTCATAATGAGCCAAAGGATTAGAAGGATTAGAATATTAATCTAATAATATAACATTGGGATCATCTGTAGCCATCTTCTTGGCCACTTAAATCAATGATTCAGGTTCATACCAAGCTGCTTCTGTTGGTGTTCTAATAACCTTAGCACCTAGACCTGTTAGAACATCTTATTTTTCTTAAGACATTTTTTCAGGCATAGTTATTACTAAAGGATATCCTCTAACAGCACAAGCCAATGCTAATCCTACTCCTGTGTTTCCAGAAGTGGCTTCAACAAGTGATTTACCTGGTCCAAGACGACCTTATTTTTCAGCATCCAAAACCATTCTAACACCAATTCTATCTTTGAGTGATCCACCCACATTTAAAAATTCACATTTAACAAGCACTTCACATTTTAAGCCATATTCTTTTGGGATTTTATTTAAACGAATCATAGGAGTATGACCTACAGCATCAAGTGCGTCATTGTATATTTTCTTAAAGGGAACAAATTCTATTTTTGAATGTGGTGTTTGAGGTTATTGATTTGCTCCTCTTTTGTAAGTACATTGAATTGTGTCTTTAGATAGGTCTTGAATCATTAATTAAATATGAATTAATTTTAATCAATAAGAGAAGGTTATGAATAAATAGGACATGAATAGTATTATTAAGAATATGGATCTAATTATAAAAATCCTCATGAAGATAAAATAAAATAGGTCCTTTTGATTGCCTTAGCTAAATGGAAACCAAAATTAATAAAAGTTCTTGATTTAGCATGTGGTAGTGGAGAAATCACCTTAATTTTAAAATCTTTGGGAGTTAAAAATATTGTAGCAATGGATCCTTATACTATGTAAGCATTCAAAAAAAGAACTGGAGATGAATGTCTACCTATTTCTTTTGAATAGATTGCAGATGGATAGATTGGAGATCATGAATATTCATTAATTATTTGTAGTTATGCAATGCATTTAGCTGATGATTCCTTATTGCCAGGTTTATGTATGTAATTAGCCATGATTTCTAAACATATGATTATACTTTCTCCTCATAAAAGGCCAGTAATTAAATGGGGTTGGAATTAAGTTGATGAAATAATTAAAGATAAGACTCATGCTCGTTACTATACTTCAACATATTTATGATTTCATATTATCATTATATTAGTAAAAAATATAATATAATTTTATGTTAATATTGATATAATTAGAAATTAAGAATTTATTATTCTGTGAGATAGAATCTTCTATTTTTATACATATTTATTCAATATTTGATTGTTTTCTGAAATAAAGACAAAAATATTAATTTTATATCTGAGATCAGAATTCTATAGCCACAAAATCAACAATATTAGAATCAATATTAAATATTTATAGTTATAATATAAAAATTAGTTTTATATAAAAATATAACATCATGTAAATCTTCATTCCACATTGATGATAATTATAAATAATATAAGCAATAGATCTTTATTGTCTTTTAGAAATGAGATATTTAATTATAACATTAGAATTTTTAGTTTTAGAGTCTTTTAAATTCTTGAAAATTCCTAATATTATTATAATGTCAAATTAAGACATCAATGAACTTCCCCCTCTCAAGGTCAATGTACCATCATTCCTTTTAAAAACATATGAGATACTTGAAGTAAGAATTTCATATCATTTTGAGAATTCATCATTATCACACATAATAGGATGGAATTAAGAAGGCAATGCGTTTATTGTATTCAATACTAATGAATTGGCATCAAAAGTACTTGCAAATTATTTCAAACACAAAAACTATCCAAGTTTTCTAAGGTTAAAGTGCTTTTTACATTAGATAGTTGAACATGTACAATTTTAAGAAAACTAAAAACTAATATGGGCAAAGTGAATTCAGACATAAATGGTTTAGACGAGGTCTCAAGTATGAAATCTGAATAATTCTGTTTTTAGAAGTATGCTCCAATATATTCGAAGAAGAAACTAAGAAGAGTCAGAATAAAAAATAGAAACAAAAGACAATAATTAAGAACTTGAAAACTATAAAAGAGAGCATGAGGAGATGAGACAAATAGTAAGAGAGATTTAAAATACATAAACTAAAATGCAAGCTGATTTTACAGCTTCTGCTGAATCTAATGCTACTGTTAGCCGTTCAAATCATTCAGTTTTACAAGTAATAAGATTATCCATAATAAAGTGTCTAAATCAAATGTAACAATAGTTTAATAAAAAATTTGATACGATTTCCATTCTTCTAACTAAAATTGTTTCTAATCTACCTTAAATTGGTATGAAAATTTCATTAATATAACAATAATAGCAATTTAGATAGGTGATATTCTCAAAAATTCTTATGAAGAACATTCTCCTGGTAGATCTGAATCCAATTATATAGTACCATATAATGAAAACAACCAATATAATTAAATTGGATCACCCTATTCAAATTATTAATATAATAGTCCAATCCATTATCTATTTTCAAGATAGAATTAATGTAAAAATTATATATGTTAAAAGAATTCTAAGAATTCTGTTTCTAATTTGATCCTAATGTATTTACATACAATCGTTAACATCCCTAATAATAATTAGCATTACCTGCTCCAAACATTAATTCATATTTACGTAAAATTAAATCACAAATATATTCTAGCCAGCAATAACTACTCTTTGTAATCAAGTTTGTAGAATTCCCCTTATAGAATAGCCAGTCCATCTCATACATCCACAACAGATTCTAAAGATCCAGATAAAGTAACTAATAAATTTACCTTAAATAGTTCAGTCTCTATTAGCCAGCATGAAAAAATGTTATTGTGCTTCTAAATATTTAATTATTTAATAAACTAAATCTATATCCTTTTGTACTTAAAAGCTATTCTCAATTTAACATTATTCTTAAAATCTTATCATATTAAATTATTAACTATTTGATCACTTATGTATCACTTAAGTTTAATACTCAAATAAAGACTTATAGAAATATACAATCTAGTAATAATTAAATGAGTTTCTAAATTTAGAATATAATCTTAATTCTAATTATTAAATAGAGAGTATTAAAGTAAAATATCTTTTTATCTTTAAGAATAATTATATATCACGTTAGACTTTATATTATTCACTTCTAAAATTAAATTAAAAATGAATCAAATTTCCCAAAACATCCTAGTTCAAAAATTAATAGACTATAAGTTAAGGTAAAATGAAATTGTTTATAGATTCATAGAAAGAACAAAAACAAGAGAAAATCGAGTCCTTAGTTTTCACCCCCCAAAATGCCAATTTCTTAGAGATAGACATCATCTTCCAATAGTAATGCGTATTCCATTCATTAAAAATTGAAATCAATTCAAAGTGAAGAGAAAGTATTCATTCCTCAGGCTATACCACAGTCCCTGATTTGCTCGATCTATTAAGCCAAATGTTCCAAATAATATAATCATATGAACAATAGGCAAGTCATCTATGGTCCAAAAATCTTGAGATGTTGAAGCAAATTAAGATTCCTATCCTTAAAGAAAATGAAGATTTGAAATAGACTCTAGAAACATTAAAATAAAATGATATTCAAAATAGTGTATATGGTCAATTAAAAGAATATGATTAAGTGTAAAAACCAATACCTAAACTAATTGATTTAAAACATATCAATAGAGATTCCAATTTTTAAGAAGAATTCTTATCAAAAGTAAATGAATTTAGTCTATCCTGGCGACAAGAAGTATAATAGCTTAAATAATTATGAATATATTAGATATCTAATTATATTTACAATATATTTAATATTATTGTAATTATTTTTAATTTTTATAAGCTTATATTTGTTCTTTATGATTTTATAATAGTTGATAATTAAATTATGTTGTGCATAAAACAAATTTTCACAACTAAATTTAATTTTGAAACACAATAGTATATAATGATTGTTTGTATGCTCTTTTTATAATTAACTCACATAAATGGTAACCTTTTAATAAAATCCTTGAAATCAATATGATATTCAGGAAATTGAGGTATTTAAATGAACATTCCATTCTCAACATAAGGATTTCCTATCATTGTACAGAATTTATTTCCTTATCTCTATTTATGACGAGGATCAGATTTGCATCTCACATACACCTTTTTACCTCTTCTTTAGAAATAACAATGTTCACACATCTTTTTCAAAGCACTCTTCACTTTCATTATTTAATTATATTAATGATAATTTTATTTTAATTGATACCAACATTCTTATCCTTTCAATACAAAGGTATTATTAATCAAGATCTAAACCATATTAAAAATGAATTGATAAATGGTTCATTACCTTAAGGTAGATTAGCAATTAAAGATGTTGAAAATTTATTTGATGAACTTTAAAACACTACTAATCTTGTTCACTCTTAATAAATAGGAGAATCCTATCTTAATAAAACTTTATATTCTTATACATTATGCTCTAATTTTACTAAAGATAAACCTATGATGCTTATAACTAGTTTACATCATTCTAGAGAAGTAGCTAGTTTGTAAATGAATATATATTTATTTCTCTATATTTTATGGGAAGTAAAACATTAAAAGAATCCATATTATATTAATATGATTACTCATAATTGCATTATGTATATATTTTTTATTAAATAAAGGATTATCCCATTTGTTAATATTGATGGATATAATGAAATTGAGTCTGAATTTAATAAACATTATTTTTAACCATTAACAAGAAAAAATCTTAATAGAACTATTATTTGTAATCAATTAGATGAATTAGCAGGAGTTGATTTAAATAGAAACTATGGATATCATTTTGGTCATGATAATATTGGTAGTTCTAATGATCCTTGTGATGAAACCTATAGAGGAAGTGCTGCATTTTCAGAAAAAGAAACATAAGCTATTAAATATGTTGTTGAAAATTATAATATTAAAATGGCTATGAATCTACATTGTTTTGGAAATTTATGGGTTATACCTTATAGTTATGATAATGAAGATCTTGATAAAGATGGAATTCCATATCTTATTTATGAAGACTTTAAGTAAAATGGTTAATTTTAAGGTAATTATAAAATAGGTCATGCTATTGAATTAGTTTAATATACTGCAAATGGAGAAGCTGCTGATTGGATGCTATCCTAAGGTATTTATACTTCAATTTTAATAGGTATTATTGCTATAAGTCCAGAATTAGGAGAATAAACTTACACTAATTTTTTTTAAAACTTTTATCCAGATCAAGAATAAACACTTAAATTATTAAATACTGAATTTCCTCCTTTAATTCATTTTATTAATTACTTACCATTTCAACCATTTATTAAAAAATTATATTAATATAATTTGGATGATAATGAGAAATTTAACAAAGTATTATCTCCAAATTAATATATTGTTGAAATTTTATGCATCAATCATGGTGTATCTAATGGTTCTAATTAATATTTCGTTGTTTCTAATACTGTTTAACTTATTGAAGCATATTACATAGATATTAAATATGATCAAATATTTAACAGAGATCAAATTGATACTAGTAAATTAAATATCTTATAAATTAATAACAATACCTTTTCTACTAATAAGTTCAAACCTAGAAGTTAAATAATTTATTTTTTAATTTATTAGGAATCTAATCTTGGAGGTGAGGTTAAATTTTATTTTGATCTTTATGGAGAAAATCATGAAAATAGTAATTATAATAATAAATTATAGCCTTTATATTAAAAAATCATCAAGAAGAATAGAAATAATTAAAAGATATCTAATATCACAAACTTTATAATTTATTATATATAGGTGTGTTAATAATATCAATTATTACAATATCTATATTATTTTAATATTTTACTAAGAAAATAAATAATAAGAAGTAATAGCATATCATAGAATTAATTGAATAAAAACCAGAACAAATTGAATTAAATGTATATATATGATTAAGTAATATCTCAATAATTCCCTTCCAAAATATATTCATATAATCTATTTATTTTTTATTAATTTTTAATTTCCTACTTTCCTTATGTATGTGCTCGATTTCCTTTTTGTGATTTTAAGGTTTATTTTGTTCTAATTTTCTCAGTACTTTAAGATCTCACTTTTTTATTTTATAACTCTATTTTAATATTTTTATTTACTTTCTTCTGCATTTATTAAAGAAAAATAACAATGCTTAATTGGTAATTGTGATACATTAACATTAGGTTAAAATTCTATAGACTAATTTTATTTAGAGTACTCATTTTTATTATCAGGATTGTTAATTTATTGTCTACTGATATTAACTCTAAATAATTCTTAATTATTATTATTCTATTCTTGAAACATTTATAGTTATGTATTTTTTTGATCCTGTTATTAAAGTATTTATTATTTTTATGTTTTTTTAATCAAAGAGGATATTGGCATTAAAATTTATGGATCAGATGATCGTTTTTAAATTAAAATATTATGTGCTAATATTGATTTTGATTATTAATTTGAATTATTGATTAATATATGATTCTTTTATACTGTTCTACCAACTTTATTTTCTACATCTCTTTAATTATATAATCTTTATCTATAAATATTTTTATACCTTTCATATACAGATTCTTATCTAATTCTTTAACTACTCATTCCAGGTTTATCTTGTTGTTTCTATTATGAACAAATAATATTCTCTTTATCTCTATTTTTCATTACATTATCTCTCTTTATATTTAATTTAATGTCAAAATTCTCAAACTTTGGAATGAGAACCTACAATTATATTTTCATTACTTTTTAAGATTAATAAGTAGAAAGAGTTGTTTATTTTGCTTCATTAGTCTTGAATTGATGATATTTCTTCATTAAGTCTTATCTTGACTATTTTACATCATCCCATTTATTAGAATCGTTTACATGTTGGATAGATTCAAAATTGCCTAATGAACTGAAACATTATTGAGAGCTTTATTTCTAATAATAGAATCAAATTTTACACTTAAAACATAAAAGTCTTTTGCCATTTATTCGTTGAAAATTACAAAAACAATAATAATATATTTAACAACTATATAAATATTAATTTTTTATTTTAGATCTTAAAAAACTCTTAATTAGATCATATTTTTTATTATATTGTTCCTCTATCTATTAACATATAATATTATTGATCATATTCTGTTAAAATATGTAATCTTTTTGTAAATGAATAGTCTAATTATTTGATTGTATTTTTAGATAAAATTATACATATAAATGAATAAATTCAAAATTTTGAAAATCTAAAGTTATCTATAAATAAATAAATATAGAATTATGATAATATTTCATAAATAAAATTAGATTGCTGCAATTTATTAAAAATGTATTTGATTTACTTATGATTTAAAAGTATATAGATTTCTCTATGTTATTTTATTCAAGATAATTAAATTTGAATGAATAATTTTTTTATATCCTTTTGGTTTTAAGTATTAAATTAATAAAAATTTATATGTTAAACATAAGTGATTTGAAAACTGATTTGCAATAAAAATTTTAAGCTGTTGACAGTATTGAAGTACCTCAAAAATATATATCAGATCTTCATAAAACAATTAAAACTTTAACTAAATTATTAAAAATTAGAATAAGAACAGATATGCCATAATTAAGCATTAATTAATTTAAAGACACAATGACAGAATTAATAAAAATCTCAAAATAAATGGCTGATTAAATATTGCATAAACAAACATAATCCTTATAAGAAACATAAAGGTAAAATGATTTGGAAAAGAGATTATTATTTTTAGAGGAAAATGTTGGAAGTTAATTAAAAGAACTTACTTAAGTAATTATTAAAATAATTATAAGTAAAATATTGATTTGTAAAACTAACTTGATTCTATGTTAAGAGTAAAAGAAGAATTTGAAAATCAATAATTAAAACTAAAAGAAATTGAATTATAAAATAAATAGTTAAAACATGAAAAAGACTAATTAAAATCCTAAAATAGTAACCTTTAGAGTTTGATTAGATAATTAAAGGAAGAAAAAGGTAGTAAAATTGAAAAGAAACTAAAGACTCTTAAAGAGGAAGTGTCTCATGTAAGTTTAGATTATTAAAAAAAATTGGAAGAAAGAGATACATATATAGAGAGATTAGAAAAAGAACTTTAAATAGTAAAATCAGAATTAGAAATGAGTGAAGATTATAAAATGCTTACTTAATCATCAAAAAAATTATCAAAATCTCCAGAAAAATAATTTTGATAAATAATTAATAAATAATCTTATATAATTCCTATTATTAAATCAATATAATTATAATATTCTAATTATAGAATACTATAAATTTATATTATTAACTTTCTATTTACATAATTAAAAATATTAATTTCTAATATAATATATTAAATTTAATATTTATGATTTAGTTAAATGAATAGTAAAATAACTTTTATTAGACTTACAATAGAAAGTTTAAAATGATAACAATATTAATTTATCATAACTATTTTACCTAATTAAAACCAGTACTTCTGATTTATGAACTATTTTCATGCAAATGTTTATAATCAAGCATTGTTGAAAATAAACTAGCTGTAAATAAAGCTGACTAATTCATTTTTTTATATATTTACTCTACTTCTCTTTTAGATTTATTTATTAAAACTGATTTAGCACTAGAAGATGTTTTTAACTAAATTTCATAATATATTAAAATACTGGCATTTAGGATTCTTAAGCATTACTAATATTATTGAATTTTTTATCACTTAAATATGTATTTAACTATCGAGAAGTATCATTACTATCATCTTAAATTAATATAGGATCTTATTTTGCTAATTCAATTTCAGGAGTTCCAAAAAGATTTTGTTTTTTCTAACATTTTTATATTTTCATTTAAGCTTTCTATAGAACATTATTCTATTGTGTTAATTTAATTATAAGTTAGTCTTTTTCAAATAATTAATTTTAATATTTTTTTATTTCTGCTTATTAATATAATAACTTTTTTGAACAAATACAATTTTTTTCGCAATTCTGAAGTGTACTTCCAGAATTACCTTATATAGGTTAGGTTTAATCTGCGTCATTTAGTAAATAATCAAAAGAAAGTCTAGAACTACCTTTCCTTTCACAACTCAATGGATTGTTCATTAAAGCTTCAATTTATTCTTTCAATTGTTTATTTTCACATTATAATTTTAAAATAGTATCTTTAAGCTAATTTATATAGAATTATTACTTTAACAGCTGCCAATTTTAATTAAGTATTTTCATTCTGAAATAACGTATTTATTTCTTATTATTGTTTCATATCAAATTAGTTAAACTCATTCTTTTCAACATGTTCCTTTATTTGTTTTTGAACATTTTTTTTTTCTTCTTCAGCCTTAATATAAACTATTTTTAGTTCTTCATATTTTTATTATTATTAAAAAAGTGCATTAGCTAATTATTCGTTACTAAGTTCCTTTATTTTTATTTGTTTTTGTAGATCAATTATTTATTATTTTAAGTTTTCTGTTGAATCAAAAATATGAGAATGAAACATTTAATCTTTAGAATCTAACTTTGGAATTACTTTCTTATATTAATAGTCATCATAAACACTCACTAAAAATTAAAAATTATAATTACAATTTTAGACAGACCTATTAGGACATGAATTCTTATTGATAGATTATTTATCAACATTAAAATTAGGTGTACTATTTTTTGGATGCATTATAAATTTATAGTTAATTTATATATTATATTAAAAAAAGTTCTTAAATAATGTTATTTTAGTTTGTAAAGACTACAATTAACCAATATAAGTTTATCCTCACTTTTATTTTAGATCTATAATATTTTTCAAAGTTCTCCTTTTAAATAATTATTCATCTCATTCAATCAATTAACTTAATTCTCATAAAGAAATCAAATGGGAATTTTTAATAAAAATATATCTTAATATTTTTATTATATGAATGAATAATAATACAATAAAAAGACTAAAATTGTACAATAAACTCCAGATTTTTTTCCTCGTTAACAAAATTAGAATAGGAATTTAATATTAAAGTATTGGATAAGTCCAATATCCAATACTTTACTTAAAAAATATGGCATATATAGCTTTTTATCTAGCTTAATTGGTTGAGTATTATAGTTTTTACAAAAACCCTATAAAAAAACTATTTTCTTGATAAAACTTAATATGTACATCAATGAAGTTTTATTTTATATTAAAAATTAATTCAAGAAATAACTAAAAACCTTAATAAATACCTTGCTTCAATAAACTTTATTAATTTCATAAAAATCATTTCTAAGTAAAATTCATCTGGAATCATTATATTATTTTTTTCTCTACTTTAATTATAAAAAGATAATAAATCTGTATCATCATCATTAAGAAATTATCCTGATCTATTTTTTGAATTGGGGCTCAAACCTGAATCGATAAATTCTTTTGGTTATGTCAGATCAATTTTAATACCTATTTAATGAGATCGTTTAAGTTCTTCTCTACATTTAAATGATCTAATAATAAAATATATTCTTGATATTTCATATAATAAATTGATGTAACTTAATTTTGGTTACATCTAAGTTTTTATTTTCTTATAAAATAATTTAAATTAATTCATATCTACTTCTAACTTATTATGAAATACTTTTATGGTTTTTTATCTCCAATTTTTTTTAAAAGTGATATATTTAAATTCAGGATAATAGATTTATATTAATTCTTTTAATATTTTTTTATTGAGATAGTATTAGTTGAAAATGATAATAACATGTTTGATCATAAATAATACAGATACAATTGAACCAATATTAGCTAATAGATCACCAGCATTTGGATATTCAAAAATAGTTTTAATTTGATTTCCTTTCATTATTAAGAAAATTACACCTAAAGCATCATTTCCATAACCTTATTTACAAAATTCTAATGTATTTGTTTAAGGTTATATAATTGCACCATTAATATATTCAATATATCTTGAAAATCCAAATAAAAAAGAATCTTGAACCTCATAAAAATTACTTTATAGAAATGTATTAAGAGTATAACAATTCTATCTTTCAATTTAAATGTAAAACTCCTAAAAACTCGTTTATTCTGTTCCATCTCGAGAATTCAACTATTTATAATGTAACTGTAAAATAATTGTATTAACAGGCTATGAAAAGAATTACTCTACTAATTCTTCAGATGCACATTTTTCATTTTCTTTAAGATAAATCTCTGAACATTTAACTATTTATATGTACATTTCAGATGTTGTATATATAACACCATCTATATTTTAAAATGCTAAGCTCATTTTTGGTAAATAATATTGTTATCCATCATCAGATATTTCATTTGATTTATTTATAGTTTAAAGTTCTGTAAAACTAAAATTAGTTGTGTACATAACTAAAGGTATTAATATTTTAGATTCAAAAGGATCAATATAATCTTCTTCAATTTTCCAATAATAGAGTTTGAGAACATCATAATTTAAATCCAATAGTGAAAAATCTGATACATACATTGAATTAGAGATCTTAGGACTTAACTAATTGTTCTACCATTAGTAGAGCACCCAAATTGCATATCCTAAACTTGCAGAACAAATAAGAAAAGTAATTAATCCTCCAAAAGCACTTTTGTAAATTGATTACTTTTAATCGATTTATTGAATAAAGGGTACTCCAAAAAAATCTGCAATTCGTAAAATATTCATCATAATAAAAATTAAAATAACGACAAAACAACTTACTTAAAATTTTAATAGTATATGTTAATGTAGCAATAATATTATATTTTAAGTGATTACATTGACTACAAATCAATATTGATTATAAAATAAATAAATTTAAAGAGTCTTTTCATCTTTATATTATATGATCAATATATTAATACATTAAAATTATTATATAGGGCAATTCTTTATTATTCTTTTAATATAAATTGCAATGTATCCAAAGCAGAGAATATAGACAAGACCAATTACTTCCAATCCTGTTTTAAGTAAGTTATATAATAAATAAGGGAAAGAGAGTTAATTCGATGAATTAAAAATGTTTAATATAAGATATCAATAAATCATTTTAATTGGATGTAAGAATATTTCAATTATTCAAAGGTTGAAAAAACAAAACTAGAAATGCAATTTTTGGTAGATGTTGAAAGAAAAAAAACAGAAACAAATAAATAAATAATACATTAAGCATTTCTAGAATCTCAAGACTTATTGAATGAAGCTAATAATAAAAAGTTAGCTATTATATAATAATAAAATGAAGGCACTTTATAATAAATAATATAAAATCACCAATAAGAAATAATAAAATTGCATAAATATTATGAATAATAAATAGAAAAAATAAAATAATAATATGCTTCAAAGGAAGATGAAGAAAAATTTAATTATTAAAATAGTTTATAATAATTAAAGATTTAGATTTAGACTAATTTTGAATATTAACTTGAATAATATAGATAATAATTTTTAAGAGAAAGAAATGAAATTAATGAAAGACATACTTGGGAAATTTAGAGAATTAAAGAAAAAAATGAACAATAAATAAAGTATGAATTTAAATTATCTAAAGAATTATTTTTGATCGTCTTAGTAGAGAATATGATACAAAAATTAATGATTAAATTTATTAATTAACATGTAGCTATGAAAGTAAGATTGATCAACTTAAACAAAATATTAATTATATTGAATAATAGAGATAAATCTTAGATGAATAACTTCGTAAATTATCAAAACAAAATAATGAAAAATAAGTATAATAAGAAAAGACATATTCTAATTCTTCAGTATAAACAACAATCTTCTTTAAAGATTAAGAGATTCAAACAGATTAGACTATTTAAATTATTGAACCTTTATATTGTACTAATTATGAAGAAATCATAACAAAAAATAATTAACTAAAATAAATGAATTTTGATTTATCATCATAGAATACAGATTTAAAGGCCAATATTCAATTTCTAGAATAATTAGTGAATAAATACTAAAATTTATTTGATTGAGATTTAATTACATTTACTAAACTTTAAAAATTTGTATTATTTTAAATTCTAAATAATTAGGAACATATCTATTTTAAATTATTATTTCATGAAAATTTGATTATAATCATTTGTTATTTTTATCAATATTATTTAAAGATTAGCCAAAATAAAAAATCAAATTAATTTTATTGGTTTGATTTAGTGATACAATCTAATAATAATTAATTGTATTTTTTGTTTAAAAAATTGCTTTAATTTTAAAATCATCATAGTATAATATTAAAATATTAGGATTTATTAATAAATAAGATATTTTATCTTTAGCATTTAGTTTTGAAACTAACATTTAAATTGAATATGTGTTAGATAATAAATTCTTATCTCAAAATTAAATATTCAAATATCTTTTTTATTTCAACCTCAGTGAATTATATATTATTATTATATTTATATATGCAGGAAAATAGAAAATAAATACTAAAGTCTTAAACTTCAGATAGAAGCATAAAGAATGCCGCAAATACAATTACAAAAATAACAAATAAAAAAATACAACAGTTGGCATTTTTAACTTAATTTCCTTAATAAAGAAAATACACTGTTGTTGAGAAAGTCAATAAGCTAATAGATAAGACATAGAGTAAATTAAAGAATCAATAAATACCCAAGGATGTACAATTTTATAAAAGAAATATGAAAAAATTTGAGAATTTGTCATCATTTATTAATTCAAAAGGATTGTTATCAGCTAATTTTAGTATGCCTAAATTAAGGGTTAAAGAGAAAGTAAATGAATAGGAACATGAGTATGTAGATTATTTGCTTGCAAAAAATTGTAATATTTTATATAATTGTAGATAAACTATAATAAGAAAGATAAAGAAGAAAAAGTAAATAAGTGAAAGAAGATTATGAGTAATGTTGGGAATTAGAAAATTCTGATTATGATTATGAATCTCCAATTAATGTAGGAAAAGAATTAAAAATAGCTCATTAAGATCAATTAAAAGGAGAAATAGAAGCAAAAGCAAAATTGTGGGAATTTTAATAAATTCGTAAATATAAAAGGAAAATAACTAATATTGAATTGAAGAGTTCATTAAGATCTTCTTAACATAATGTTGAAGATAATGATGAAATAGTAGAAGATACAGCTCATTTAAATGCACTACATTATAAAGAATAATCAGATAAGGTAATTAAAATGATATGGAATGCAGCTAAGAAAATTTATAATAAAAAGTAGGATTAAATAAAAAAAGAGATATTAATGCATTAAATAGCCAAAAATTATAGATAAAAATAAAGGGAGATGGCTAAAGAAGAAATCAATAAAATCTTAATAAGTAATATAATATAATATATTAAATTTTAGCTGGTCAAAAATAACATTTGACATTTGCTAAAACAGTAAGACATCTACCTGAAAATGGTGATTCTAAATAAAATACAGAACAATATTTTAGAAAAAAAGGGCAAACTTCTCGCAAAATATAAGTCCCATTTTCTTTTTCTCCATAAAACCTATAGGAGGATATAAAATCTAATAGAAAAATAACATAAATTAATTCAAGATTACATGATATTGTTAATCAAATAGATAATATACCTGTTGGAGATCAAACTTAAACTATAAGGAAAATGTAAAGTGAACAAATATTGTATTAAACATTAAGAGAAACCCTTTAGCCAGATCAAATAAAGGATACTTTAAAAGGACTATTTCTTCCAACAGATCATTTATATAAACGACGCTTGCAATATAATAAGAAACATTTCTAAAATTAAATCTTATGACTCTACTTTTATATAGTAAATACAGATATAATAAATTGATTTTCTCTATTAATTTTAATTGACAATTAAATGGCTTCAGGAGAGTAATCCTTGGATAAGAAAACATTGTTTTCATCTCTTGTTTAGAAAAAGTAGGCAGAGACAGATGCTTAAAAAATTTAGAATCGTATTTTATAATTGAAAATTGAACATGAAAAAGTGTTGAAACGCATTTAACAAGATGAAGAAAGAGCTGATGAAATATATAGACACAGAGTTGAAATTTAATTAAAGGTTCACTATAATTTCATATAATGAATAGAAAGAAAATAAATTAAAGTAAAAATAAGCACAACCTCCTCCATTTTCACTGGCTATATCTCATCATCAAAGGCAAATTCTAAAAAAAATAAAGGAAGATGAGATGTTAAAAAAGAAATCAGAGGCAAAAATTTTTAGAGAATAACTAAAAAAAGATTTTTAGAGTGTTTAAATGCAAAAAAGTTTGGAGTAGGAAGTTTATAGAATAAAAGCAATATAAGTAAAAGAGGAAGAAAGGCAATCTACTGAAGTAGCTGTTTTAAAATTGAAATAAAAAAGGGAAAAGGTGAGATATCAAATAGAAAATGAAAAAGATTAGATAATTAAAGAAAAGAAGTTATATGATTTTAAGATATCAGAATTAGAACAATAAGAACAATTAGCAATGATGGAATTATAAAATTCATTGGCTCATCAATCATATGTTTAAAAGAAAATAGAACAAGCTTAGAAATTATCCCCTAGTGATTATGAAAAACAATACCAAAATAATAAAAACTCTGAGACCACATAATGATAATTATTAATATTTTTATATGATAAACGAGAGTTTGGAATCTGATCAAGAAATAGACCCAGAAAGGGAAAGATAAAAGCTTATGTTAAAAAGACAAAAGTCAATCGAGGAGAGTCTTTAATTAAATGTCAAAGATCACATTGTAAAATTAGATGTATTGATTAAAAATATTTGAAGAATTATTTAGCTGAACTTAAAAAAGACTTAGAAATTAGTAAAAAGGAAATGTCTAACTTAAGAATGGAAATAGCAACAGTAAAAAATAATCATGGCAAATCAAGTGATGATCTATGTACTTTTATATAAAATGATGTATAACTGATAGTAATAAATTAAGGCAAAAAGATTATTAAATGAAGCTTTAAAGAAATCTTAAGATGTTAAACATGATAGTGAATTTTTGGATGCACAATTAAATGTTTTAAAAAGTGATAAAGAAAAATTGCAAGATGTTACAGGAACATTAGAAAAGAGAATAATATCTTGTGAAACAGATGTTGGTTTTAAACACGTGTATGATTGAATATCAAAAATATCACTTATTTAATCTAGATTTGACTTCTTCAATAATTCTTAAACTTTCATCATAAGTATATGCCTTTTTTGGCTTTTAATATACAAGTTCCTATAGTTTTTCCATTTATAAGGTTTATTCACTTATAAATGCTTAACTCAAATAATAGGTAGGAATTTTCTCAACATTTGACTATAATTTAAATTAGAAAAATGATTTACTTTGATTTAATTAAATTCTTCTACAAATTCTCCATCTTTTGCTAAAATTTCCTATTTGATTTCTTATTTTAACAATTATTCATCCCTCATAGTTTAGAATTTCACATCATTACCATTGAATCTATAATTTCTTAAATCTTCTTCTTCTTTAGTCAATTTTATTCCTTATTATTCTAATTCTTTCTTTTTCAATTTCTCTGCATATACAATACCTTTGATAATATTTAAATTATTTGGTCTAGGTGTTCCTGGATTTATTTCTTAATCATCTTCTATCATAGTTTGGCTTTCTAATGATCTTTCTCTTTTTTATAATGGGGTTTCTGTATAAATTTATCCTGTAGATAAATTTACTTTTCTTCTTGCAAATTCTTAGATATCATTTTCAAAGCTAGTAAGTGATTTTTTATGGTAAGGTTGTATTGATGAATTGGATGGTAAGAGTACTAAAATATTAGAAATATTAAAAATACACATATGTTTAGCTGTTTTAATGGATCTTGCTACTTTTTTATGTTAAACTTCTGCAAGGTTAGTTTATTATCTATTTTTAATTTTTGCACTTTTATTTAAAAATTAAATTAAGAATTCTGTATTTCTCCAATGAATATCATAATTATTAACTCTTCTAATAGGTCTTTTAGGTTAAGGATGATGATGATATACAACTTCATCACTAACCAATTCATTTACATGTTCTAAATGATCTTTGGTATTTATTAATATGTCTTTCTATTTATCATGGTTTTTTAATTTCATATTATTTGGATATTTATTAATTGGAACATTAAATTAATCCTTACCAATATCTTACCTCAAAGCAATATCAACTATTTTTTAAACAGTGAATTCTTCTCCAGGAGCCAAATAAACCAAACGTGCTTACTCATTATTTTTTAACAACTAGAAAAATGCATCATAACTTAATGGAATGCCTTTCTAATTTCTTTTAATTATGTTTATACATCTACACCATTTGTTAGAATCTCTTCTCTTGATAATCCAGTATCTTCTAATTCTTGTAATTTCTTAGTAACTTAAGTTTGGATTTATTTCATTTATTCTTCTGATAAATTTTTTAATGCTCCTTTTGGACTGACATGACCTTCAACAAATGTTTTAAACTTGCTTAATAACATAATAATATTACATTTTGATGCAAAGCATTTTCAAATGTTGGTATTGCAATATCTTTATATCTCAAAAGGGACTTAATATAAGGCACTTCTTTAGACTATCTATGTAAAGTAGTAGGTGGTTTATGATCAAGAAATTAAGGATGGATTTTATCAAATTCTGGGTTGGTTAATAAGTCCTTCTTGATTTTTGAGAAGTGACGAGAGAGTCTTATAATTATCATATTTAAATAAATAAGAAAATTTATCTTTGTTTATTATTCTCAATTTTAAAGAAATATTATTGATTATTTATTAGATTGTTTCTTTATTTATATTGAAATAAATAGATACTAATTGAAAATTAATTGTAATCCATAAAAATTAAAGCTTTTAATGGATCTATTTAATCACTCATTTATATTATAAATCATATATAAGGATTTTCAATTTCAACCATTCCATCAATAGCAAAACTATTTATCAAAGCTCCTCTGCAAATTACAAGTCCTAATATTCTTTGAGATGGTAATTCTCTCACTTCATCCATTACTAGATTGAGTTGAATATCAAATGATAATAAGATGCCTTTGACTTATCTTCCTCCTTAAAATTATATTACAATTTCTTTGTTTATGTGTGATTACAACTTTATAATTGACTCTTTTGGTAATTAATTCATTAATTTATTTATTATTATGTCAACAATTAAACCATTTCAAATTTTCGATATTTTAGATTACAACAACATAAATTTAGACATTTTGACTGAAACAGTAACTATTAATACTAAAATTAAGTTCAATGTTGGTTTCTATGGAAAGTATATAGCTAAATGGCCAGAATTTTGTATTTCCATAAAAAATCATTTTGGCAATTTCTAAGGATATTGTAATATACTAAAAATTATTTTTAAGTATTGGGAAAGATTGAAGGAGAAAAAGCTAATAATAATAAATAGAATTGGCATGGTCATATTAGTGTAAATCATATTTATTTTATTAAGGCAATTACTGTAGCACCTGAATATAGAAGATAAGGAGTAGCAAGATTTTTGATGAATTATATAGAAGATGTAACAAATAGTTAAAATGGATGGTATGTAGATTTATTTGTTCGACCTTCAAATAAAATTGCAGTTTTGATGTATTAAAATTTTGGATATGAAATATATCAAACAGTATATTAATATTACAGTAGTTAAAATGGTAAATATGAAGATGCATATGGTATCAATAATTATATTAAATTAGATATGAGAAAATCAATGTTAAGAGATAAATAAAAATTAAAATAGAAACCTACTGGAAAAGTAATCAAACCAGATGAATTAGAATTTAATTGAGTTATTATCCATATATTAATATTTATTTAATAGAGTATTGAAAAATGTTCTTAAACTATAATTGCTATTATTTATTTATAAAGTTTATATTTATTTATAAAGTTTATAACTATAATAAATCAGAATTAATAGATCAAGCCAATTTCTTTTTATAATTATCTACCATAAATTCAGCAAAATAAGCACTTTTTGGATTTTTTTCATCATAAATAATATCTTCTAAATAAGATGTTCCCAAATTTACTAATTATTCTCCATATACTATTTCTGCATAATTTAACTTTAATATTGGAGTAGTAGGTAATATCCAATAATACCATTATTAATTTCCCATAAATTATTTCATATTTAAAAAAAATGATTATTATCTACCAAATTTACCCTATAATGACTCAACAACTGTTTAATTATCTCTAATTACTTAAATTTAATCCCAAAGCATTGAAATGACAAAAAAAGAAAAGAAAGTACAAAGTATTATAAAAAGGAAGACTTCAAAAATCTAAAATTTATTGTTTGTTATTAAATTCCATAAATTTTATTAATCTATTCTTATAATGTAAGAATAGATTCCTATAATATGAATTGAAAAGATTGTTATAATGTAACAAAATACATACAATAGAAATAGTACAAAGTATTTTTAATTTAAAGCTCCTATACAATTATTAGTCCATTCACAATGATGATCCATTTTAAAAATACATTTATTGCATCTTCTACAATGATGTGCTCTTGGTGGTTTCCAACTATTGCATTTATTACAAATATTTTGATAATATTAAAGTAATTGCTAATCATGAAGCAACTTTAATGGTACTGTTTTCTAAAGTATTTCTCCTGGGTCTGAAAATTATGTTCTAATATAACAAATCTCTGATATAACCCATAATGCTATTGCTAAATTTCTTATACAATTGCTTAATGAATTTTGATTTTAGTAAATAAAGGTTGTATATAATCCCCAAATTAATAAGAATTGAACTAAAACTACAAGTCCTAAACCTAAATAGTTTTTCTTTGATTTTTATTTTCCATTATTGATTTTCTCTTACAACATTAAGCAAAAATTATTTATGTGTAAATTTAATAACTAATTTATTTAAAGATAAGATTGATTAGGACACATAGTATAATAGTAAAGTTATAATTATGAGTTTAGTATCAATATTGAGTAGGATTAACTTCAGAAATAGGCCATTATTAATATAATTAGACAAATTTGACTTAAATATCTAAAATAATTCTTAAGCATAATAATTATGGGATTATAGACTTAAAAAGTCAATAATTTGAATAGATGAAGTATTATCTAATATTTTTAGAATTTAAGATACTTAATTTTATAATATAATATTAAACAATTATGTTTCTTTATTTTTGCTCTAATTTTATCATACTCAATTCATGATATTTAAAATCTACTTTTTTTATTTCTTCTAAGGAAATCTTATTGAGATTATTTTAGATAGGACTAATTTATAAATGATAATTTATGAAAAAATTAATATTATTTGATGATATTAAATTAATCTACTCATGTTTAACAAGGATCTAAATCCAAAGTAAAATAATTGTTAGCTATTATAGTTGTGAATTCAAGCATTGCAGATCTTTCTTCTAATAGAATTACACTGAAATGAAGTGGAGTTCAACTCCATTACCCTTTGAATTTGCTTCATTTTAATATAGAGATACTGTAAAAATAAAAGAAGGGGATAGTCTACAAATAAGAGATCTTAAAGTATATGACAATTATTTAGTCTATGATGATCAGGTATGTATAATGGATTTCTTAATTTAGGATCAAACATTTTGGCTTGACTATGAAAATAGTATTATAGACTAATTGTAAGACTCAAAAGGGATTCGCTTAGTGAAGTGTTTTGATCAAGTTGAATTTTATAGTGAGTCACATTAATGGTTTAAGTTACTTAAAAGACATACAATATAAAGTGATTTCTAGAAATAATATGTATTGATAAAAAAGATTAGTAAAGGAAGATTTACTGAAGTAAGATAATCTCTAAATAACTAGGTATATAGAGCGAAAAATAATAATGATGGAAATGATTATGCTGTAAAAATCTTAAGAAAATCATCATTTATTGATGAAGCAGATTTAATTGCTTTGTTCAAGGAAATTAAAATTTTGAGAATTGTATAGACTGAATTTTGTGTTAAATTCAATGAGATTTTCGAAAATACAGATAATATTTATATTGTGATTGAACTTCTAATTGGAAAAGATTTGGATGGACATATAGAAAAATGTTCATTTTTTTCAGAGGAAAAAACAGCAAGATTTATATTTCGATTGATTAAGACAATATCATATTTACATTCAAAAGGAATTATGCATAGAGATATTAAACCAGAAAATATTATATTTAGATAAATTGATAACTTAGATAGTATATGTTTAACTGACTTTGGATTGGCAGATTTTTATCATAGTGATGGTCTCTATTTATTTAAAAGATGTGGTACTCCAGGATATATAGCACCTGAAATCTTAAGAAATGAACCTTATGATTATAAAGTGGATGTATATAGTATAGGAGTCATCATGTATTATGTATTAGTAGGTAAAAATCCATTTGATAATGTTAATTCTAAATAAATCTTAATAAATAATTAACTTGGTTAAATCAATTTCAATGATTGTAAATTAAGTAATACTGGATTATAGTTTTTGAAATGTATATTGAATGATGATTAAAATGAACGATTATCATCACATGAAGCTTTGAATCATATTTGGTTTCAATTAGAAAAAGTATCTAAAATTAGATAATTTGTATTCAAAAAAAAGTCTGATAAGAAAAAACATTAATCTAGTGTATCATTATAAAAAAAGAAAGAAAGAACAACTTTAAAATATAATAATCCACCTCTAAGTCCTACAGGTAAAATCAAATTAACCTAAATTTATTCTCCTTATCATAGTCGATAATTGTCATAAAAAGATTAGTTTTCTCAAGATCTCCAAAATAATTACATAGCTACAAATAGATTCAATTAATATAATATCTCTAATAAAATATAGCCTTTGTTCATTTCTAAATTTAAATGAATAATTACTTTTTTATATAATATAATAATGATTCATTACTTATCTAAAATCGACAACTTTGGAGCTGAATTTAAACAAAGAATTGTACATTCAGAATAAGAACATAAATCTATTATTGGAGGCATATTTACACTTTCAGTCTATAGTGTATGTATGGCTTATTTTATTTTTGTTTTGTAATAATGGGCATCTGGACAGATATTACCCAAAATCCTTATTGAAACTGCAGTTGCAGCTTTTGAAAAATTTGAAATGCCTGAAGAATTAATAGAATTATCTTTTGTTCGTTATGATGATTCAATCATTGATCCTTTTGCTACACAAGGAAATATACTGATGCCTATTGCAGTCGTATTAGAAAATAATAAACCAATATCCTATTAATCTATATTGACTAATACTGAAACATCAAATTATGGAACAAATCGGATTGAAATGGAGAGAATGGAAATTGTTAAAAATGCTCGTAATGATAAAACACAGGAAAATTGTAGATATTACTATTTATTAATAACTACTTGTTAATAGTAATACTTAAAAGAGAATCAAACTTGTGCTTCAAATGAAGAAATATAAAGTTATATGAAAAGTACATTAGTTCCTATAGAAGTTGAAGTTAAATTATAATAGTTTAACACAAGAAATAAAGATCTATATGAAGTGGAAAAATTATTACAATTTAGTCTACAATAAAATTTAACTCTCAAAGCAGAGTTATTATTTCAAAAAACAAATACAGTAATAGATGATCATTTGATATTTTAAAATTCTCATTCTTTCACTTATTTTTCTGATTTTAGTGTTTTGACCTAAACTATTACAAAAAATAAAAATGTATAAATAATAAAAGATGAAGTGTTAATTGAGATAGCTTTTAAAGTTGATCCAATTGAAGTAAAATAATCAGTTACTTATGTTAAAATAGGAGAAATGTTGGCTGAAGTTGGATCTATAGCAAGTCTATTATTAGCAGCTTCTTGGTTTATTCAATAATTTAATAGAGAAGAAATGGAAAATACAATTATTGATGAAATAATTAGTGTTTATTATCCATAATTTCGAAATCTAAGAAAAGTCAAAAATTGTATGGGTAAAACCATTGAAATTAAACATGAAAAAGAATTGATTAATTAAGAAGAATTTCAAAAATGGTATGAAAAAGTTCGTAAAAATGTGTTACTAAAACTTTCAGTTGTTAATTAATTGCATGAAATATCACGATTGTATTTTATACTGCGTTCATAAACAACATATTAATAAATGTTGAAATATTAAAATTATGGTATCCAATTACCACCTAAAATATTTGAAAAACATAGTGATGAGATTAATAATGAATTACCTTCTAAGGAAATGAAAATAGAGGATTATGATCTTGAATCATCAAATATGATAACTAGTGGTTTATGTGATGAAGATTTGAATATACTCAGCTATAAGAAAATAAATATACATCAAAATTGATTTATATGATTGAATAAACAATATTTATATTTAATTATTATTTTGTTCTATTATAATTTAAATGATTATCTATAGTTTAACTTTAATTATATATAAATATTTTGAATATTTTGTGAAATTTTAGGTATTTACAACTAGAAATTATATAAATGAATGAAAATACTAAATTATATTAAGTAAATTAGTTCCATCCATAAGTATATCATAAAATATAATAACTATCAATAAATCTATTAATAATAATTATCTAAAAAAATTGAATTATTTATGTTATTAATACTTATAGTAATGACCATTAAATTAAATAACACTATTACCAAATTAGTATGAGATATATATTATTATTATTAATTATTAAATTGCTATAAATTTCAAACATTCAATATTTAACATGATTTATTATAACAAATACTCACTTAATCAATTTTAATCAAAGACCATGATAAATTACTTATTTCATTTTCTGCCTTGTATTCAAGTAATGGATCTACATTAATTAAAACAAATACCAATAGAATTTTAATCATTTTATTTGTTCTGTAATTCTGTGAAATCCCATATCAAGGCTGATGAATCATCTGCAACACTACATAAATGAGTTGTGGATTCAGGTGCCCATGCTATAGCATTTACATAATCTTTATGATTTTTTAATTTTGCTAAAGGTAAAAGTGGTTATCTAAATAAAATATGTATCTACCTTGTATCTAACAATGTAACATAATTAACATCCATCTCTATGATTGCTAAATAATTAGTATCCATTTTATTCCAAGCCAATCTTACAATAGGATTATTGTTCTCAGTCTCAAATAGAACTGTTGAATGATCTAAGGCTCTAAGAATTTTCTAAAATATAACCTTAGATCAAATTGTCTACAACTACCATCTGCTCCAACAGATGCAAAAATCTAATGATCTACACTAAAACATATATCATAGACTTCCTTATCATGAGCTATAAGTTAAGTAACTACAGTCTATTTTTCTATATCCCATAGTGTACATGTTGTATCTATTGATGCAGTTCCAATATAATTTTGTTATTTGCTACTCCAATCAAAAGATGTCAAAGGAGCATTAAAATCACTTGTCTATATTTAGTTTAGAATATTAATTATATACATTTTTTAAGTCCCATTTAATCTTAACTTGAGAATTTTGATCATCATATTCCCAAATCTTTAAATTTTCACCACTAGTTGCCAGTAAATCAGGATACTTACCCTATATATCAGGAATCCACAAGACTTTGGTAGGAGCATATCTATGATTGAATTTAGCCTTTTTACAAAATGTTTCTTGTTCTTTATCTAACTGTAGTATAAATACCTATTTATAATAAAATAGAACTTACTTCATTCTAAATATCTTCAATCATACTACAAATAGCAATACGAGATTGAGGACTTGGTTTAGATTAAAATCCCATTGCATAAATTAACCAAGGAGCCTTAAAGGTGTAGATCTAGTTTGAACTTTCTTATTGCATGGAATTATGCATTTCAGTGGATTGTAGAATTTGATCTTGTTACATGGTTGTTGTTTGCGGTTCTTGTTAGTTCATTTCAAAAAAATATATATGAAATTTAATTCATGGAATATTTTATTATTATCTTAATATAATTCTATTGCCTAGTAGAGATTAAACATAGACATTAAAGATATGAAATAATTATTGTTTATTGTATTAAATAATCTATATCAAAAGAGTTCACGAAGCTCATCATAATTTTTTGAATTGAAAAGCTAAGTTTATTCTTCTGATAATGGATATCCCATGACTTTGGATAACAATACTAATGGAACTAAGAAACTAGGATCACCAATTATAGTGATATCATATAATTTCTTATATTCTTCCAATTAACTAATTTCTAAATGAATATATATACTAAGCATGATCCTATGCTAAAAATCCTATACTCACTTAATTTGGAATATTTAGGAATTTAGTCATATAAAAATCACTTGGTAAATCTCCTAATAAAATTGTATTATTTCTAAATTAAATTCCAGAGGTTTCTAATATTTTGGCTTTAGTGGTTGCTGTTACTAACATCTCCATCTTTTCTAAAGTATCATCTTAAAAAAGCATTTAATTTGTATGCAATGTCATTTCATCATAAGTGTCAATCTCATGAATAGATGATAAAATTGTATTTATCACTCTATCAAGTCCACCACTGACAATGTGAAATGGAACATGTTCTTCTACACATTTATAAAAGAATGGTTCGAAAAGATATCTCAAATAAATATGTGAAGTATTTAATATCTAACATGATAAAGATTTTGTGAATTTAGCTTCATGAAATGCTTCAGATACTTTCTAATACCATTCATGCATATGTTTATTCTTTTCCTCAATTTTTATACTCTAATCCTTTTCAATTGGAACATAGTAATCATAATAAGATTACATTTTATTTTTGAAATCCTAAGGTGATAATTCTGACATTCTATAATTATATTTGTATTGTAAACCTAAACAAGCTAAATGTAGCAGGACTTAGGAATGAAGATATTGTTTAATCAAAATCAGTCACAATTTGCATTTACTTAGCACCTTCAGATATCATTTTTTCTATTTTGGATTTCAATTCTTCAGAATTTCGAATGATTAACTTTTCTTCTATAAATGAATTTGTTTTCTAAAAATATAAGAATATAATATTTATAAACTTTTTCAGTCCATTCACCAAGTGTAGGAAATCTCTATATTTACATCTTTTATATAAATTTATTTAATCAATATTTTAGAATTTGCTTAATGGTTTTATAGTAAAAACTATAAATTTAATTTGTGCTGAATACATCAAGTTAAATATAATATCAAATTAACTTTCTAATAATTTATTTTAATTACAGAATTTCTTTATGTGATTTTTATGAAAACATAAGGTAGGTGAAAGTAATCTTAAAAAGAATTTATTCTAAGAAAAGATACATCTTTGCTACTTATATTTTGATATACATATTATCATCTTAAACAATAAAGATTATTTACATAACAAAATATAAAAAATGAAGTCTACTGAAGAAATATTAGATATGTATTTATTAATGTAATTGAAATGATTTCAAATTGCAATAACCATATTTTGATATTCTTTAAATACAAATTAAGTTTTTAATTTTTTACAATTATCATAGATCAATCACTATAATTTAATTTTGATGGTTTCCTAAATTTTACTTTTTTCCTTTATATAGTAATAGTAGGTGATTTATTATCTTAACTAAAATTTCCAAGATCTTTATTTTGTTAGAAATTATGCTTCAAAATACCTCTCAATTTAGGGCTTTGTACGTTTTTTAAAATATCTGTTTGTTATTATAAAGGTTGTTCTTTTGACTTTGAAGTCTCTGGAATCTCATAATAATCTGTATACTCAAACACAATTTATTAGACCTAAGGTAATGCTTGTATATCTGAATCTTCAGATTTTATGGTGCAATTTGCACATATAGAAGAACCCATTTAGTTATGAAATTAATTAAAAAAAACAAAATCACACTTATCAAAATTTCATTTCAAAAGCTACAATACCTCTTCTATTGAAATTCTCTACTAGAAGTGTAACACCACCTATCAAAGACCCACCAACAATTCCTCCTACAAAAAATGGAACAATCCCTAAAATTCAATATTTATTTAACATACCCAAAGTAGATTTGTATATAGCTCCTGATATAGCACCGCAAAGCATATTTTTCTTAAGTTAATTAATATCAGCTAACTCATCTTCAAATAACAGATTCATTCCTGCTCCAACAAAATAATAAAGCATGCTTGCACTAGCTGCAGCTTAACCATATGTTGATGTACGTTTTCCTACAGCATTAAAGAAATTGTTGAGAATCAATTTTTTAGGCATATTGAATTATCTAGGGAATCCTTCAATTGCTCCTTTTAATAATCCAATTGATGAAGCTAAAGTTATGAATTTCAATTTACCTAACATGTAACTGACACCTACAGTAAAGCTTATCTTGTCACCAAAGTCTTATCCTGAATATTATTCAATTTAATTCTCGGCTTTGCTTCCCATAAATTAAAATTTATTATTAATTAACTTATTTTCATACCTCAAATAAGAGATAATATCAAATATTCTAAGAAAACCTCAAAATTATTTTAAAGGAAATTCTCATACACAATAATACTAATTAATATATTGGGTATATACTAATAAGAACTTTAAATTTAAATATTCATTCATTTCATAATATTAATAAAAATTATTAATAAAATAATAAACATCATCATTGAAAATACTGATTGATACATTATTAATATGGAAATAATTTAACAAAAAAAGAAAATTTGATTAGATTGTCAATTGATAAATCCTAATTAATTAATACTTTTTTTTTATGATTTTACTTAGATTAACTCTTATTCACAAATTAATTTTGACTAACTATAACAAAAATATGATATTAATTAAGCTCCTCATTTTTAACATATAGTATTTTTTTAAGCTATTCTTTATCAGCAAGACAGTATATAATATATGTTGACCGATCTCAATTAATTTAATTAATTTTTATTAATTAAATAGATTATTTACTATAATTCCTTAGATCTTCCTCATAATTTTAATAATTATTGATCATTAGTTGGCAATGATTGATATATAATACTTAAGAATAACATAAAATTTTGATTGATTATTTATAAAACTATGGTTTTTACTATAGTTATAATTTACATTAAATAAGTTTTCAAAAATATATTTAATCTAACTTAGTATTAAATAATTCACTCCTTTTTTTTAGGCAATAACCATTTAATTAGGTTTTGATTATAAAATCATAATCTTAATATTATTTTATTTAATAAAGAGTTTTTCTTAATATTTTAAGTATAATTTTGGTTGTCTAATTAATAAGATAGTATTTACATAAGAATATTAATATATAATTTAAACTTCAAATAAAAATCCAAAATTCTGATTCAATATAAAAGTTTACAATTAGGAAATAATCCCATTTTGAGAATATATTTTATATATGTATACATAGACTTTATTTATTTATATGAATGAATAAAAATATTAAATTATTGATCATCCTTATTTTTAGATGGGTAAGAATAATTTAAATTCAGGGGGTAATTCCTCTTCACTATATAAACGATCACTGAAATAGATTCTTCTAATTCTGCAATTGGCATGTATTTAAACTCTAATATTATTGCATTTATATGTACCGTAATGTCTCTATGTAATTTGTACCATATGCTCTTCTAGTGAAATCAGATAAATTGAACTGAATTTAATTCCATCCTTCATCCAGTCTCATAGGCATAGTACAGATAAATGGTTTCACTCTGGTTGTTGACTAATAATTTTTATTAAGATATACTTAATAATTAGAAGCTCTAAATCTTCTTCTAACATTTTTATCATCCAAGACTTGTACTTCAAATGTAAAATATTTTTTAAGCTAGATTTTAAATATAATGATTTTACATTCTTAATGATCATTACTAAGAATGGTAATTTGATTCCTAAAGTTTCTTTTGGATCAGCAGGAGCAGTAATGAAATTGGTACTCACATTTGTACCCATGATTTCTAAAACTGATGATTAAATATCTTAATCTGTAATTCGCTTGATATGACCATTCTTAACTGTGATATTTGAGTTATAAAATACTTTATTTATCCCATATCTACAATGGCTTTGATCCTATTGAATATAAAATTGATAGAAATCCACTTTGGAATGAGTTCTTGAACATCAGTTATTTTTTTATTTTATTAAACAAATATATATCAAATGAAATCCAGCAATTTAATTATTATACTCAAATTAAATTACCAACAAAAGTAGCTCTTTTGTATTTCTTACACAAAGATTCCCAATTCACTACAAATCTATCACTAAACCAATATAATAATTTTCCACTCAAAGATAAATTTTCCACTCTACACCAACTCTCTATAAACAAAATCTTGCATCTTTTTCTTATGAATAATATCTACTATCTAATTATGTATTACATATTGTGCAATCAAAACAACCACAACTGGAATACATGTCCCAGGACCATTAGTTATAAAAATATCTAAATCTCTAAATCTCAATAATATTAAAAATGTATGCAGTGTTGCCTTGATTGTTGTTATTATTGAAGATAAATATGATTATTTAACTTTTCTACTTCTGTGAATTGTAATCCATTCTACTTTTGGTAAAGCAATCTTTTTATTTTATGAGTTCTTTATACCTTGTTGTCTTCAATAAACTTAGCTACTCTTAATGGTTCTTAAGTATCAGCATAGGAATGCATAAAATATAAATTCTAACATTTTTTTTGGAAATCATAATTCTTTAATGTCATTAACATTTCATAAGTATGTCCACCTGACCCAAATAAAATAAGCATATTGTATTTTTTATTGTATTTGGAAGCTATACAGAATCTTAATCCAATATATATCAATAGTAATATTAAAATTGATAATGTTAACATAAATATATTAATCAATTTTTTAGTACAGCTCTTAAGTATCTTCTAATTGGAGTTGAACTATAATATCTATAAATTATAATATTACTTTGTTAATATTTGCATAGGCATAAGCAACAAAAGAGTTCTACTTTTTTGCATAGATTTAATCAATGATGTATTACTAGGAATCCATAAAAAAAATGAAATTATAAAAATATAAAATGTGAAACAAATAAAAAGAGTCCCTCTAGTAATTGATAAATTATTGAAAGAATCACTAATACTTTTTTCTAACTTTTCAATCAAATATCTTTAAGTGTATCTAATGATAATCTTTTACATAACTCTTATCTCTAAACTAAAATTAGTACTAAGTAATAATATTCCATAATGTTAATTTTATATTTCTGTTTAATTTTATTATCTTTACAATTCATAATCTATTAATAAAATTCTTAGATTTTCATAAAATTTAGTTAAACCAATTGATAATCCCTCAGAAACTGTACCATCTAATACAGTATTGCAATAATCTTCATTAATAAAATTTTATAACTATCCTAAAAGTGGACAAGGGTTTTAAATGTATAATTATTGAAATACATTAATAAAATCTTGTTAAAATAAATCAACATTTTGAGTAAATTTAGTTTGCATTTCTGCATTTACATCCTATAACCTAACTAAATAAGATTAAATAAATGTTTAAGGAGATGTACTAAATATATTCTAATTGGGATTCAAAATATATTCTCTAATAGCATTATCTCCTATACGATATTATGATTCTAATAGAGATGTAGTATTCAAAATGGGACATAAATAATATGTATCTTCAACAACTTATTGGGCTGAGTAATATTGATATACAAAGTATATTTGTAGATTTAAAAAAATAAAGAATGCTGTTACCATCAATTTCTTAAATTTTGTATTACTATTTTTCCAAACTTTTTTAGTTTTCTTATTCAACATTTTTATTTCTTCTTTTTCATGATTATGATGTTATAAATTTTCCTCGTATTCCTCATCCTAAATTAAAGATTAGATATAATACCACTTCATCATCTCCAACATTTAAAATTGATAAGAATTTTTCACAATTTTAGATTACTTTCTGAATATTTTATTCATTAATTTCAAAATAAAATAAATATATTTATTGAAGTTATCTACTAAAATGAATCAAATAAATTGCTATTAAAAGATATGTAATAAATTAAATAAATGTTTGTAATATTAAAAAGGCTATTTTATTATCAAGTGAATTTTCAGCTACTGATTTAATTGAATAATATAAATAATTCAATGGAATTTATTAACTTTGAATTACTGAATTTAAAATATTGTAATTGTAGTAAAAGTAGTCAACATTTGAATCATCAAATAAGGAAATTTAATTTTAATTCAATTAGATTGCTTTAGCTATAAGTTAATCTATTGCTTCTTTGTAAGTATAATTCTAACTGGTTCCATCTGATGAAAACAGTTTTACATTTTAAGTGAAATAGATTGTTTCATAGATTTGATATTCATCATTTATATATGTATCAATGATACTTAATTATGAATGAATTGAAATAAGTTCATCTATTTCCTAATCTAATAATTTTAAATTATAAGTAAAAAATTCATCAAGATCCATTCTCATATTACTAATTTTACCAAATCTAATTAATTTTAGATCTTATAAGACAGCATTAATCATTAAACAACTAGATAAACGTTTGTTAGTTAAACTTAAATTGAAGATCATACTTGAAACTTTAGTGTCATCATTCAAATTAAATGTAAAAACAATTAATCCAGATGTATAAAGTATGAATAAAGAGATTTAAATAAATAGATTAGTTAATTTTAAAGTCTTTGGAATATTTGAATTAATTAAAAGCATTTTGATAGATGATTTAGATTAAAATAATTTGAAATAATGTTAAAATTCTTAGATTTCAATTTCTTTTTCTTATTTTTATGATTTTTTCATTTATTCATTATCATCTTCTTCTATTTCTTCTGAATCTTAATTATCATCTTATATGTCTATTATTTAATTATCCCATAATCTTTTTGTTTTAATACCATCCTCATAATTTACAACATGTTTTATAGATTATGTCATTTTCTTTGCCATTAAAAAATAATCAGCAATCTTTGATATTTTTGATGCATTTTCTTCAATATGACTATTATTAATTGATTCCTCAATCTAAGTCAAACTCATATAATCCATATAATAAACAGTTGGTGGAATATATTGAAAAACAGGAAATTTAGTTCTTTTTTATTAAATAGGAAGCAAATTCATACATGGAGATTCCACAATATTAATCTTAAGTTATTCTAATTTAATGGCCATTCCATATTTTTTACTATCTTTTAAACATGGAAATTATATATAAGACAAATAACATTGAAATTCTATTTAATCATAACAACTTAAAGTTGTATCTACAGTTTTAGTACTATATTTCATTCCATGAGACTTTAGATATAATTTAGCTCCACTTTTAGATAAAAATTCATCTTTTCTTTAATGAAAATCAGGAAATAATTCTTTGATATTAATTTTTCTCATTTTAATTCTTTGTATATCTAATCTTAAGTATGATATACATGAACTAGAAATGTGTTCAATATAACCTTTTATGTCTAATAATAAATAACATAATTATTTAGGACTAAATGATTATTAATATTAAGCTATAAAAAATAATTAATTATTTTGAGCTTACAATAATTTTACAGTAGAAAATATAGGTAAAATATAATTACTCTTTGTTAATAAATATACACTTTATGTAATAAAATCGTTAGAGTATCTTGCCTTATTCTCTATAAATAGCTCTAGGCATTAATCATGCTTTTCAATAAAACTAAAATTTAAATAATATCATACATATTTGGAATTATTTAATTAATAGATCTATCAATTAAATCTGCTTTTGAAAATCCTAACAAACTACAAAAAGACTTATTAACTGCATAAATATTAACTTTTTAAAATTATGCTGAAGCTACTAATGTTGGAGTAGATTAATTACAAATTTCCTCCAATTCACTTAATTCTTGTTATTTAGTTTTTTAAAGAGTCAAATATAATTATTAATAATTATCTGCTTATTCTTAATCATCTAATACTAATTAATAAAATTTAGATAAATAATTATAAAGTTTTAAAGATTTATTGTCTTAAAGTTTATTCCATTTATAATCAATTTCTTCTTATAATTTAATAATTTTAAATCCATAAACCATTAATTTACTCATATCTGGAACTTCTTCTGATAAAGCATTCCAAAATTCAACAACTTTCAAAGTAACTATTTCTAAATGTTCAATAAATTCTTTTGTTTAATTTAATTAATTTGCTGTATCAAATAATTCAGCATTTTTTTCTGATTCTTCTTCAATAATAGTTTTATATCTGAAAATATGGAACTCATAATCTAAAGTAGGTTTAAAATCCATTGCTTGATTTAATTCTATCATTATTATAGAATATGATCTTTATTAATTAAAGAGGAAATAGATATAACTTAATCTTAAAGGAGTGTCATCTGGAAATTTCTTTATTCCTTCATGATATATTTGAATAATCAATTCAATAATAATATGATTTCTATCAGTATAAATTGGATTTTCTTTGAATTTATTAGCTAATTCAATCTTTTATTTTACACTACAATCAGGTCGATCACAAATTTCCTTATGTAATTCAATAAAACTATCAAGTAGTAATTGAGCTCTTTAACATTTTTCTGATCTTTTCATAAGAAATACTAGATATTCACATAAAAGGATGATTTACATTCCATTTTTAAACTTTTTTAAATTGGCTACAAATAGATCTACAGTTTTTTATTATCTAAATGCCAAAATACCAATAATTAATGGAATTCCTATTAACCATGCTTATACAGTCTTTTAAAATGTTTAACCATCAAATTTATAGGAATAAAACATCATTATAATAGTCCACAAATTTACAGCAGATGAAATAGACCATATTTTCTGTATTACATTATCATAATAAGGTTATTCAAGGTGAGTACTTATAAATATATAAGAACTACCAATAAGGAATACAAAAATTATGATTATAGTATATTCAGGTGTAGGTAATAATTGATAAACCATAATTTATACAAATATATATACAAGTAATATACTATATGATCTACCATTTCTCATAGCACTAGCATCTTAATTAGTGTTTCTAGATTCATATGTTATAAAAGCCATAAAAACAGAAAACAATAATGTGACAATTAAACCTATTATGGCTACAACAGCATGAATATAATATTCTGAAGTCCAACATTCTTATGATTACTCAAACATCATTAAATATATTCCTTATTTATTATATTCACATGCTAATAAACCAAATTACATTCTCACTATTGGCCAAAAACCTATTGTAAGAATAATTTTCAGTATGAATTTGAGTAATAACAAAGGTGGTTTTTATAATTTTTAATTCTTGATAACAAATGCTAGAAGCATGATTAATAAGATGCTCAGAACAATTAAACCAAAACAAATATAAAACACTGACAAATAATTTTGGATTCCAATATTCTTGACAGATATTGTTATTGTAAAATATCTAAATAAACTAAAATTATACTTTATTAATAGATTAATCAAGTCACTATAGGCTTTATTTTACCATACATATTAAACTTTGAGTCCAAAATTTAAATAAGTATATTGTAGATATTAAATCAAGCACAATAGAATTGTTAGCCATCTATAATCTGACCATGTTTTCAATATAAGGTAAACAACTCTATATAGACACAGGATTACTTGAAGAATTTATATTTGAGAGAATTGACAATTTGATTGATTTATTCCTTCTTTTTCATTAATATTATATAATTTCATTATGAATAAATCATTTATTTAATATCCTTTAGCTTACTATTAAGTTCTTGTATTTATTACTGATTTGCCATAAGCAATTATTTCAATAATTGATTTTGTTGATTTTTAGTATCAATAACAAACTTATAGTCTTCATTATCGTTTTTAGTACTTCTCTCTAAAGGAGGTTTGATTGACAATTCTATAACATTAGTATTAATGGTCATAGAGCTTATATAATCAACTACTCTTTAATTCAATTATTTTTATGAATCTATAATACGTTGAAGTTATGCTTTATTTTACTCTAAAGAATGAATTTAATCAAATAATTATTATTTTTCGTTTTCATGTTATTATTTTAAATTTTATACTTCTTTGCCAGACATAATACTTTATGCACTAGTAGCTAATGACATTGACATTGCTCTATTTTCAAATGTAGTATCTTTTAATTTTGTCTTTAAACGTTCAATCTATTATTGTTATTCTTAAATAATTTTTTATTATTCTGCTTATAATGAATTTTAATTTAAATAACTAGATTCTTTCTTAGATAACTATTTATTTTCTAAAGTTAAAGCATCAACTCTAGCTAATAGAATAGCAATTTCATCATTTTTTTATTAGATATATTTATCTTTTTTTGAGTCATCTGGAGATTACATTTGTTATAATTAAAATTTATAACTTTCAATTTCATTATCTTTTAATGCAAGTTGTAATTTTAAATTAGATATTTCAGCTTTTAATTCATTATTTTAAGATTAATCTTATTATTCAATCATTGAAAATGCAATACTTCTAACTGATTAAGATGTATCTCTACTCTCTATTTCTTATTTAGGTGTAGGCATTTGCATAGTATTTAATTTATTTTCAGCATCTTTTCTTCTTATATTCCTTAATATCCATAATTCAAGATCTTCATGATTAGTATTCTTTAATTGAGTACTAGCCAATATAAATATTGCAGATAGTCCTTTAATAAATGAATCATATTTTTTAATTAATTATGTTATTAGAAATAGAGTAGTATCGAAATTAAACAAGTTTATTGAATATGTTATTAAATATCTCTTTAATCTACTTTATAAGAATTATTTTAACAATTATTTTTCATCCTCTCCTAGACCATATCCTTTTACACAATAAGTTAATATACTTACTATGCATTCATCAGGGGGTTTTTATTTGTATATTATGGTTAATAATTGATAAGTTGATGCTTCTGATGAAAAACATAATAGAAAATTGGCTAAACATACTAATTCTGCTGAAAATTACACTTCTGGATTCTTTGAACAAAATGTTAAACAAACATTCTATAATTTTTAATTGTCTTTGCCTACAAGATAATAAAATTCTTTTAAAGAATAGTTAATATTGTCAAAACCACTTATTTCTGTTTTATCAAATCTTATTTTAGTGCTCTCACGAGCATTCTTATAATCTTGTTAACTTAGAGTACCTCCCAACCATTATTTTGATAAAGTGTCAACTCCATAAGCAATATGATTCTACTCCACAAAATTCTTTATTTACTCTGATTCCTTGAATTAGACTTCCATATACCTCTTTACAGATTTTACACATTCTATGTGGTTTTGTGGATTCTTTACCATCTTTTTTAATATGGTTAATCTTGAATGGAGAACATCCCTCACATACAGCTCTTAAACATCTGCATTATGTTTTATTCTTACCTTTTACATTGATGTTCTCTAGTTGTAAAACTGAAACTTTTCTAACAAATTTGACATTTTGGAATTTTTCCACGCACTTCAGGAATATTGATAAAGGTAATAAATTATTTCATTTTTTTATTAGCAGTTCAAGTAATTTTTATTTATAATACTCTTATTTTTCGTAAAATTCTAAAATTCTGATGATCATCTCTTTATAAGTCTTCTCATATTTCAAATAATTCAAAGGATAACAATATGATTATTTTATTATTACTTAATTCTGTAATTGTTATCAAACAAACAAGTTAAATTAAAGATAATAAACATCTTATACAGCTATAATTGATTAAACTACAAATTGATATAGATTGCTTTATGATAGACAAACTGTTTAACATATATATACATACAAATTTACATGACAAGATTATGATATATTGAATAGAAGGAAAATAAACTGTATATTGTATTTGTATGTAATCATATTCAAAGAAACAATTGTAATTATACAACATTTGTAATTACACAATTACATTTGGGAATGGGATTTTCGAGCAATTTATAAATCTTTAATCTCATTTAGAAAAAGTTCTGATTAATCAAAATAAAAGAATTTACATTATATCTAAAATGAAGGTTTCATTATACATGATTGCAAGTGTTATATTTTGATTACCATCTTTTAAAATTGAATTGTAAATACTTTATAATCATCTTAGAGTTCTTATTTAATAAAAAATAGTTTTCTATGATGGTTTTCTAAAATATACAATAATGTTAATGCTTTAATTATTCAGATGTTTAACAAGTGCACTTTATAAATACATAGAATGATTAATAAATACTTTAATGTATGTTTCAACATTTTTTCAAGGGAATCCTAAGAATACTTTTAGGAATACTATTCAGTAATATGGTATTTCTTGAATTCTTGAATTCTACTTCTTTATTTAAAATTACTATTGGTATTTTTATTATGGAAAAGTAAAAGTAGAGAATACGGAGATATTGATAATGTTAGAGAGAATGAATCATCATCAATATTCAACATTTTATGAGTATAAATTAGTTAATAATATTAATATAACCATTTAATATTCCTTTTAAAAATGGAAATATTGATAAATATCTATTGATAATTAGCAAATAATAAAATGATATTTCAAATAATTGATTTAGATGAACGAACTCTATTTAGAGTAGATCTTAATTCAGCAACAACTTATTTTGTTACTATTTTGGTTTATTAAATTTGAAATTTATCACTGCTTTTTTATCTCATATGAAAAAAAGAAAACCTTTTTGCTGCATCTTAATCTAATGTTGGCTTAAATTTTGGTTATCTATATTTATTATTATCTTCATTTAAATAAGTGGATATATTTTTAGTACTATATGTGCTTTCAATGCCATTATATTTTTTAGATTTATTTAATTACAACTTACTATCTTATTCTTCTATGCATGCTCCATGACATATTGTTCTTTTAACTATTTTACTTTTAATCAATCGAAATGATGAGTTAGATGTGTTTAAAACTGAAGGTTACATGATTATTTAAAATATAGAAATAAAAAAAATGTTTACTTATCAAACTAAAATAAATGAAATTTGTATTTGTTAATTATTTTATAAAAATGAATTCTTAACAATATTAGTAAGAAATCTGGAATATGAGAGTTGCTGTTAAAGTAGAACTCTAAAAGAGTAATATACCACCAATGTATCTCATGATATATAGATAACATTATTTACTCTTCTATTACCAATAAATCTATGATGTACAAATATATACATTAAAATATTAGCATTTTGATTCTTTTTCTCCTTAAGTTAATAAAATTAATCAAATTTCTTTTCTATACAAAGATGTTCTATTACCATACTAAATACCTTTTGGATTATTAGTTGATTTATATAAAAGTGATGATACATTCATACCTATTGAATTATAATTAATCTATTAAAAAGAAGCACATTTTCTTGATTTAGAAGATGAAATAAGAAATTAAATCAAATTTAATCTTAAATAAGCATGTTTTGGTCGTTATAATCATGAAGGATATGGAACTCCACTAAAAAATTTAACATAATATATGTCAATAAGTGATGAGAAATAGGCATTAAAGTAAATAAAGTCTTTTGAAAATAAAGAAGATCTCTATAAATATTATAAGAAAATATTTGAATCACCTAAAACAGGAAGAATTTAGTTACCAATTAGAATATATTTTAAAAAAGGAGGTCATTTATAAACTATAATTGAATTAAAAGATTAATAATTAACAATAGGATAAGCCTTAAGAACAAAATTGTAAGGAGGTACTTTTATATTTAATGGATTAAATTTAAATATGAACATTCCTGCTTAAGATTTTTATGATCAGCTTTACTCAATTGATGGATTTTGTTATTTTGTTTGTGAGTGAAGATTTTTATTTATTTATTTTAAGAAAAACTAGAAACATAGTTATTATATTAATAAATTCAATCAAGAATTCATATATAAATATTTTAATATTATATCTCAAATATTTGGCCAATATGATTTCTTTGATGATGTATTCATTTTTATTTCATCATTTGATATTTCAGAAATCATCTTTTATATAGAATTAGGAGCATCTGATTGAATACCATCTATTTAAAATACCATCCAAGTCATATCCACTTTGTCCATTTATTAATTAGTTACTATATATATATATATTAAATTTATACTTTATGGTAATCTAAATTCTACCAAAGGATACTTCAATTCATTTAGATATACAGTTATATGTGGATCAGAATCAATCCAATCTTGATTTATTTCCTATTTTTTTAATAAATCTAAGGATTCTTATCTAGTTAGAAATCTTTTCACAAATAAAGTATATGTATATGGTTCTAATTATGTTATATCCAATATTTCAATATGTTAATCTTATTTTGAAATTGAAATATGTTCCATTCCACCACAACTTTTTGACAACGGTCCTGTTAAACATGCATGTTCATTCATTTTGAAAATTCCATATAAATCAAGATTTAATGATTTTGATGACCATTCTAAGATAACTCTTACAGAATGTTTTTGAATACCATTAGTCAATCTAAATATATAATTAGTTTTTGGTATTCTTCTTTATAAATCTAAAACTGAGCATGTCCTTTTATAATCTAAATATTATAATATCAATTACTTGGTTTATATATCATAATTGTATAAGTATTGCCTTAACTGAGATTATTTAGTGTAACACTTCCATTCTCATCAGTAATTAATTCATATAAAGGTCTTTCTAATTATTTTATTATTTAACAAGATTATGTTAAGAATTTTCCATCATAAATTTAAATTTACTAAATAATATATTAAATTTACACTATTTGAGATAGATTAAAAATTATTTGCATCTTCAATAGTGACTTTAATATCATAAAATTTAAATGCCTAATCTGCAAATTTCTATGTTTCTTTTGATACTCCTTCTAAAATTCTTTTTTTTGGGATTTCATAAAATTCTTTTAATATTTCAAAATCTGCATTCAAAGGATAATCAGAACAGAAATATAAATTATTTTTCATGAATTTCTCAGCTTCTACTACATTCCCTTTTATCAATATCCTATCATGTAATTATGTTTAGCCTTAGAAAAATTCTTTTGTTAATTCATTATCTACAATAATGGACAAATCCTATGAATTTTCTTCGTTAAGAATAGTAAATTATCCATTTGTGCCTTATATTGCTAAAATAATTCTAATTAATGATATGATTATACCCCTTCATATTATTATCGGTTTAAAAATTTATTTTTTATAACATAACAGCAGTAATTTATTGGCAACTTTATAAATTATGAAATCCAATAAGTTTTTCTTATTTATCAAAATCCTTGTATACAGGTGTTGGTAAAATAGTTATTTAATTTAAAACAGATTATTCTCTAATTTTTTAATAGTAAATAAGTCTTACTTAACAAGAGCATGCTAAATTCTTATTTCTAAATCAGGTGTGAAATTGTATGTACATACTGCTAAAACAGCAAATATTAGTAAAACAATAAAGACTACACCATCTCCAACAATGTGCATTTTGTATTTTTTAAATGTACTTTCTGATAATATAGCTCCATTAAATGATTAGACTAATCCAATCATAATGATTAAATTAATCCAAATAGTAAGACTATTTATTGGACTAAATAGGTAATTTTAAACAGCCTTGCAACAATTTAAGTTAATGCATCCCAATTTGTTATTAGTATTCGATTCCCATTCATATGATTATTGATCTTAATCACAAGGTAAATATGGTGATAGATCTAAATTTAAATATTTTTATGAGCATTATAATTCATCTTTTAAACTTATTTCAGATATTGTCTACATAGCAAATCTACAACCATTAGGTAGAGATAATTCTAAATTTAAGGATTGGATTCTTCTGATTAGCAAACCATTTACACAAGCTGCCATGATACAAAGACCAATAACAATGTAACTTAGAGTAACAAAATAAGCTTTAATTTTCTTGACATTAAATATAGCAACAAGGATACTTAATAGAAAGAAAGTCAATAGAATAATTTTGATGAATGAAATTTCAATATTAGTACTTGAAACCTAATACATTTAATAATTAATTTAAGAGATAACCTAAGCTATATGAAATTTATACTTTTTTGAGGTAATAAGCTGCAAATGCCAAAAATATTAGATTAATAGCAGAACTAGCATAAACAATCAATCTTTGAACTCCGTATTCTCTAATATTGAATTATCTACTCACATTAGCTAGATAAAGAAGTAAAAATATTTCTATAATAGTTAATGGGAGTATCAAAATAAATTGATTGTATGAATTGTATTCAATTAAGCTTAATGCTAAGGCAGTTTAGATTGCACAGAGTATTTATGTGAAGAGAGAATGAAAATAAGGAATGGTTGATAGTGGATATCCCTCTTGCTGATTAATCAAATCTCTTACTATTTGAAATGTTAAACTCCAATAAAAGGAAAAGATGCATACTATCAATATGGCTACCTTTAATTTATTTAGGAAATTACATTATTAAGTCCCAAAAGCAAATATTCAGTCAACCCATTAGATCTGTACCACATGAATGCTATGACTATGCTACATAATGAAAAGATAATGCAAATAGGAACCACTATTTTCAGGGATTGCAAACTCTATTTCTGAATCTAAGGGGAATATTGATGTTTTGTGATTTATATGGGGTTGATATCCTTATTCATAACGATTATGTATATTTTATTAATTATTATTCAAAATTATCTAAGTCACTTTACGCTTTTTGGACTGCATAACTTCAAAGTCAATTGTCTTTATTAGCTGAAATACTAAGTTAATTTATACCTTTGTAATTGCCTTGATTTTAACACTTATCTCTTTGTAGTATAACAAGTTCTACGAAGAAAATCATTTTATAACGGTTCTTCAGGCATTTTGTTATAAGATCGTAAATTTAATAAATAATTGAACTTCCTTTAATTTTACAATTAACCACCTTCATTACATCTGTCATTTTATAATCAATTTCTACGTAATATAAAAATCCCTTCCTGATCCATCATTAGGATAATGTTAGAATTTGGGTGTTATACTAGGCAAACTTACTTGTACTTCCTTCTTTCCTAATCCTGCTCTTTCATATACTCCATCAAAATGAGTTTGACTATCTTTTAATAGACCACCATTAGAATATTATACATAGTAGTCTCTGCCTTCATATTTAGATTAAATATAATACCTGCTCCATTTGCATGGTACCTTGTGAAGTAGCGTGGATCAACACATGATGCTGTAGACATATTAATATTATTATTAATTATGGGATGCATTAGTGCTAAAGATGTCCAGTAATCCATCAACAAAAACATCTATAATAATATGAAATAAATACATATCATAGCCTTTGATCAAGTAATTGTTGTATTTATATTTTCAATAGCTTTTTTTATTGTAATCTTAATGTCTAAGAGAATTAGATCTATTACAAAATAAAGTTATTTCTAGGAGAATTAATATGATCAATATTACTAAAGCTCATCTTCTCAATAATCCTAAATTAACAGAAGCTTATAAATTATGGACTTGGGGAGTTTCGCTTTGTAACAAGGGAAATTCAAAAGGAATGAATGTACATTACAGTTTCACTAATCCAGATGAATCTGTTGATAAGAATCCTACTTTCATTTACAATTTAGGTTCCTGTAAAGAACTTAGGTTTCATTGGTTTGCTATAATTCTTAAGGAATATGTTGAATATGTATAAAATGCAAAACAATTATTTCCAGAAGAACGTCTCAAGGCCAAGGATATTTATGACAAATTAAAGACTATGAGAGAACAATCATAAATTTATTTAAACAATTTATCTCCATCTGAAAAGATTGAAGCATTTACCAATATTGAATATAATATGAGTAAAATTCATAAAGGATTACATAATGCAGATTAATTTTATGAGAATTTAAAGGAATTAGAATTTGAGTTATTAACAATTATTGATAAGAATTATCAATATGAAAATGAAGCAGATTAATGGGGTCGAAAATTATATCGAGATCTTGATGTTATTTCTATTGGAAATGATTCCTATAGAATGAGAGCAAAAATGAATAGTTTAGTATTATTGTATCATCCAGGAAAAAAAAGAACATCAGAAGAAGAAGATTATTATTATAATATTAAATTAGATCGTTCAAAAATTAAACCTAAAATTATGAACAATAATGATGAAGAAGATTAAGAAAAGAAATTTAATTTTAAATTAAAATGGACTGGTTGTTCTGAAGTTGATAGAAAATGGAGTGAAATCTCATATATTTTAGAAGAACATAATGAATAAATGAAATAAATAAAATAGATTAGAAATAAAATACGAAATGAATTATAAACTTATAAATATGAAGATGACAATTTGATTGTAGCTTGGAAAATTTATTGTCTATCATTATTAACTGAATTAAAGGATGTTAAAATTATACTAAACATAAGTGATTAAGAATCAGTTTAAAAAATTCTTAAAAATTAAATAGTTTTAAGTGAGAATTTACAATTATAATCTAAATTATTTAGTGAATATTTCTTCATAATAAGACCTACAAAACAGAAATAATTAAAAGAATATTGGAAAAAATTGGATTTTGATAAATAATGGATTTAGGGATCATTTATGTAATATGATCAATTTAAATTGATACCTCATTAAAATTAATATAATATGATGACAAATTAAGCAAAAAATATATATGAATTTACTTCGAAGAATCCTATTTATTAATAGATCTATGAGCAAAGTTATTTATTTATTTATTAAATTTAGAATATATGAGATTAGAGAAAGAGGGAGAATAGTTATTTAGTAATGGCAAATCTTTATTTGATGAAATGGAGAGACTTTATGAATAATATAAGATAGACAAAGATGTTGATAAATTAATGAAACAACAATTAAGGAGTGATGATATTATTTTAAAGAAAAAATCTAAACTTTCCAAATATAATTGAATTAATATATTAAACCTAATTAAAATATAGATAAAATTAAATTTTATGGGGCAGACTTGTAGTAAGAAACATTAGACTCATAAGAGTCATTAAACTTAGTCATCAAAAATGGTTCTTGGTGATTCACATTAAATGATACTAACAAATCCAAATAGTTTTAATCCAGAATAAGGTTTGAAACAATTTAAATAACTATGCTAACTATTGTAATTAGTAGGAAGTTTGGATTAATTAAAATAAAAGACTAGAGATTAGTTGAAATCATTATTTGCATAAAAAAATAATTGCTAAATAATAATTTAAAATACAATAAGAAGAGAATTAAGAAATAAAGGATTAATAAGACCACCTTAATAAGATGATGAATATTTATTACTATAGGATAAAAAGTTTAAAAAATCAATACATACTTAATTATTAATTGCGGCTGAAATTATTAGAACATTGTAATAAGATTAAGATTTTTAGGATAAGTTTCCAACAATGTGTGTATCCTTTATGGAATTAGCAGATAGTATTTAATTTAACAGCTTATGATTTGTAAATAATTCAGTTATATATCATTCACTACTTATTTTAAATGCATTTCAAATTAAATACATTTAGTTATCACTCCAATTTTTTATATTGATTGTATAATTTTAATCCCTCTTTCAAATTTACGGATGTTAGTATACTTAAATTAAACTTAAACTATGGAAAATAATATTATTGTTAAAAAAGTAACCTTAATTAATGATGAAGTAACATATCTTTTATTTTAATTATGTTAATTTTTCATGTTGATGGATTGATATTTTCAATTAAGTCAGTATTTTTTTAAAGTTTAGTTTTTTTTATATTGATTAAATAAATGTACAAAATAAATGATCATAAATTAATCAATATGAAAGGCAATTAAATTAATAAAAAATGCTGAATTAACTCCTTTAAATTATTAATTTTATTATTTATTATTGATATTTCTATTGTAATTTACTTATATTATAGAAATTATATTATAAAGATATTCCTTTCAAGAATTTGATAAAAATTATATGGAATAAATTTATATAATTAAAGAATGGAACGTAAACTTTTCTTTGGAGTAGAGCAACAATTGGAAAATAAACAATTTAATTACCCTACAAACTTTATACAAACAAGCAGGTATCCAATCTATCTTAAATGAGGTATAATCTAATTACTTTCCTTCCATATTCATTAGCATTGCAATTCTAGAGAATGGCAAACATTTATTTTCTTATCATTGCAATATTGTCCTTTTTTAAATCCATCTCTCCCTTTAGTCCAATAAATTCAATTGCACCTTTACTCTTTGTTGTATCTTTGTCTATGTTAAGAGATGGATATGAAGATTATTAAAAACATCTTAGTGATAATGAATTAAATTCATCTCCAACTACAATATGGACTAATGGAGGTTTTGTTAAAAAAACATGGAAAGATGTGTTAATAGGAGATATCATAAAAATAGATGAATTAGAAATAATTTCAGCTGATTTAGTTGTTCTATAAACATCATAAGATGGGATATGCTTTATTGAGACATCATCTTTAGATGGGGAAAAGAATTTGAAACCAAAATAAGCAGTTAAAGAAACTTAAACTATAGAATGTAGACAAGGAATAATAGAATGTATAAATCCAAACTAATTACTTTATAATTTTGATGGAACATTATTTTTGGAGAGTAAGAAGATTCAATTAACTCATAAGAATTTCTTATTAAGAGGATCAAAATTGAAAAATGTAAAATGGGTTATTGGTGTTGTTGTTTATACAGGAATAGATACAAAAGTAATGAGAAATTCAGAAGAATAAAAAAATAAAATGAGCAACATAGATAAATTGATTAATGTCAGAATTATTTACATCTTAATTATGCAAGCATTTATTTGTTCAATATTAGCAATAATATATGGAATTAATTGTGACATTAATAAAATCAATTTTGATTATTTTAGTAGAAATTTTTCTGGTTATGAATCTTATCATGGAGATGATGAATTATATAATCCAGACATTCCAAATTGTTTTCTGGCTTCATTAATGACTTTTGCTGCCTATTTTCTACTTTTAAATACTCTAATACCTATAAGTTTAATAGTATCTTTAGAATTTGTCAAAGTAGGCTAAGGAATATTTATGTAAAAAGATAAGGAAATGTATACTGCTGAAAATGATAAATATGTTAAAGTGTTTAGTACAACTATTAATGAAGAATTGGGATAAGTTCAATATGTATTTTCTGATAAAACAGGAACATTAACTTGTAATAAAATGGAATTTAAAATATCTGTTTGTGGAAATGAAATCTATGGAGATGTATCAATGTTTGATAAACATGAAATTAGTACTTTTGTAGGTAATTAGATATTAAGAAGACAAAGTACTTTACATTAAAGAAGATCTACAGTTGTTAATGAAAAAGCAGGCATTGAATATACATTCTCTGGTGCAGTCATTTAATCTATTATAACTGAAACTGATCCTATTAAGAATCCTAATATAGATCTTAATGTAGATACATATATAATCAGAAATTAAGGAGATTTAGTAAAAGAAAATCTAATGTTGTTAGCAACTTGTCATGAATGTGTTCTTGAATTATAAGATGATGGTACATTCAATTATTAAGGACCTTCTCCAGATGAAATAGCATTAGTAGATGCAGCTAGAAGATTAAATATTATCTATAAAGGAATTACTATGGGAATGATGG